GTCTTGTTTTTGCTGACTGTATAGAGCTTCTCCATCTTTGGCTGCAAAGAATATAATCAATCTGATTTCGGTGTTGACCATCTGGTGATGTCCATGTGTAGAGTCTTCTCTTGTGTTGTTGGAAGAGGGTGTTTGCTATGACCAGTGCATTCACTTGGCAAAACTCTATGAGCCTTTGCCCTGCTTCATTCCATAGTCCAAGGCCAAATTTGCCTGTTACTCCAGGTGTTTCTTGACTTCATACTTTTGCATTCCAGTCCCCAATAATGAAAGGGACATCTTTTTTGGCTGTTAGTTCTAGAAGCATAGATACCTGTAAACAGAGAAGCCATTTCCCGTTAATCTGAAAGCTGGTTGCCTAAGTCTCAGTCCCTTCTCCGTGACAAAAGAGGACAGTAGCCTAGAATTTTCTATATGATTTTGGATATTCTTAATGCCCCCCTAAGTATCAGTAATTTGTACCCTTATTCCTCACCTCCTCAGTCCTCTCTGCTTTCTCCAATTCAACAGGTTAGGCAAATCCAAAGATAGTTCTCTTTAGGAAAAGGCTTTAAGTCTTTGCTCTAACTTTCTAGGTTCTGGAGAAATGAATAATGCAATACACAAAGTAAACACCTTTTAAAGTCATGAGCTTTGGCCTTTGCATACAGGCAAGATAACTCCCAGATCGGGGCAGGATGGAACCAAAAGATAAATGAATCTTGTAATTTAATCTTTCTTGTTGTTTTGCGCAAAGCAAGTTGATTCACTGGAATAAATTTAAGAATTAATGTCCCTTGAAATAGGAAAGCAGTGGAACCGCTCTTCCCCTGTGACTACAGATGGACCATGACACTTTCACGAAGAGATGCTCTAGACCCCTTTGGCTGTTTCTTAGCTTTCTTTTTCAGGTCTTTGGCCAGACACCATTTTACACTGTTGAAAATTCTCAGTGGAGCTTGTGGCCAGAAATACCCCATGACTTGGTGAGCATGATTCTTGAATGGTGGATGGTTTGGGATGGGGGAAGAGGCAGATGGATTTGAAGTGTGGATTGGGAGAGGGGAAGGGACAGGAGCTCATGACAGGATGACTATGGAAGAAACTATAAAGCGGGTGAGTAGGACAAACAGAATCAAGCCAGGTAGACATTTCTCCTTTTTGCATTCTTATCGCTTAGGCAGGCAGTTGCTGCTGAGTTCTTTCCTCTGTATTTTAGTCCATGGTTAGCAAAAGAAGTTAACCTCTCATGTCCACTGTGATGGTTGGGTAGTCGATGCTTGGAGCACTGTGTTGAGAAGAACTCTGAAAGCCACACCTAAGCCAGAAAGAGTCTGGGAATTGATGGGCAATGCTTGCATGGGTGTGGGAAAGAAAGTGCAGCCCACGGGCCCATAGCAATTATTTGCATTGTAAAGTAAGTGTTAGTCACTCAGTCGTGTCTGACTCTGTGAGCCCATGGACTGTAGCCTACCAGGCTCCTCTGTCCTTGGGATTTCCCAAACAAGAACACTGGAGGGAGTAGCCATTCCCTCCTCCAGGGTACCTTCCCAATGAGTGTAGCTCAAGTCAAGATGACGCTTGACAATTCCTAATGACTACTTGACCACAGGGCATATCTTTGCCCCCAGTCTTTTCTTCTTTTCATATGTTTTTTCCTTGTCCTTGTCCAATGTCTTTCTTTCTTCCCCCTTCCTGTTCTCCTTTTCTGCTCTGTAGACCTTGGACTCAGCAGTGCCTCCCTCTTACCCCTTTTTGTGACAGGTGGGATCAGAACAATCACACTAAGCACTAAGCCATTCTCACAGCAAAGTTCTATTTTTCTCTGGGATCTGGATCGCTGAGGAAGACACTGCACTCTGATTCCTAAGCATGTATTTGGTTTCCCAAGGAGAGTCCCAACACTTAAAAATTTTATCTTCTTATCCCATCTCCAGGGATTCGATCCTTTGGGTATTCCTCCCTTACTTATATGGTATGTGTCAGTCTTTGTGTGTTTTTGTACATGTTGTGCAGTTGATATGGGTTGGGAGCTTGTGAAAAGTTTTAAGTGTGCTTGTAAGCAGCAAGTGTGCTTGTAAGAAGCAAGTTGAGTAGAGTTACGACTTGACACCACAGACCAAAATCTCTTCTGCTTCTCCTCTATCAAGCAAAGCTTAGGATTGTGCCATTGCTCTGTTTTTGTTTTTTACTTAGGTCTTTTCTTAACCTCACTCAGGAATAAGATTTTTCTGATGAAGGAAAAAGTCTTTTCTTTCCTACCAACCCATTCACTCCTTTGAGAGCCTCTTAGATACTATTTTTTTTTTTTATTAGTTGGAGGCTAATTTACATCATTACAATAGTTTTTTTATACATTGAAATGAAATAGCCATGGATTTACATGTATTCCCCATCCCAGTCCCCCCTCCCACCTCCCTCTCCACCCGATCCCTCTGGGTCTAGGTGTGTATGCCCAGAAGTGGGATTGCTGGGTCATATGGCATTAGATACTATTTTTAATCAACATACCTCTGGGCCAAATATTACAAGCATAAGGTTATCTAATTGCTCCTTGCTAAGCTGCATTTCTTAGCAATTCAATTCCATTTCTCCTTTCTGTTCCTATTTTGTTTGGACTCTAGATTGCAAAGTACAAAGGATTATTGACCTGGTTGGAAAAATATCGATTACCTTTCTTCTGTAAAGCCAATTTATGTTTCCATTACATTCTCTGTCAGGAGTTCATCAGTTTCATTAAGTCCCCAGAAGGAGGTAAGCATGTGGGGGCATGTGTGTATAGAAACATGGGGAGCCAGGTTGCATACCATCCTACATCTCTCAGTCTTACAGTATAGGTACAAATACTGGCTACCTTTACAGCCTTAGATGTGTGGGTGGCTTAGCCTGTATTGTGGCAATAGGTGATATCCTAGGCTGAAAAATTGGTACCAAGAACAAGAAGCTGGAGTTAGTTGGGCTGGGCTATTTGTCTCACTGCAGCTAGAAATGAGAGAACTAATGATGTCCAAAATGCCTATAATACACTCAGAATCAAAGGTAGCTCACCACCTTCATTGCTATCACCTGGCCTATGCCACCATCATTTCTCACCTGGCTGTTTTTTGTTTTTTGGTTTTTTTTTTTACTTTTTATTTTATATTGGGATATAGCTGATTAATAATGTTGTGATAGTTTTCAGTGGACAGCAGAGGGCCTCAGTCATACATATACATGTATTCATTCCCCTCCAAGCTCTCCTCCCATCTAGGTTGCCACATAACATTAAACAGAGTTCCATGTACTGTATATTAGGTCCTTGTTGGTAATCCATTTTAAATATAGCAGTGTGTGCATGTCCATCCCAAACTCCCTAACTATCCCTTCCCTCCATCCTTCCCCACTGGCAACCATAAGTTCGTCTTCTGCCTGTCTCACCTGGCTATTGACATCATCTCTGAATCAGTCTCCTTGCTCGTGCTCTTGTTCTCTTCTCCCAGCAGCCAGGGTGAGCCTTTTAAAATTTCCTTTAAAAAAATAAATAAATAAAACTTCCTTTAGATCATGTCACTCCTCTGCTCACTGTCCCTTCCCACCACCACCACCACCACCAATGGCTCCCATTTCAATCTGAAATCCAGAGCCCCTGAAATGCCTTTCCAGGAACTAGAGACCTGGCCCCATTTCCTTTCTGATCTCATCTTTTCCTATTTCTCCATCGTTCATTCCATTCCAACCACCTTGGCCTCTGCAGTTCCTCACACATGCTGGGCACATTTGCATTTCAAGGCTTTGCACCGGCTGTTCACTCTGCCTGGGGTGCTGCTCCTCTAATATATTCACACTGGTGCCCCCCCTCCCGCCCCTCACCTTAAATTTCTGTGCACTTCTTACCTACTCAATGAAAGCTACCCTGGAAGCCCACTGCCCACCCATCCAGCCCCTGCCCAGCTTTACCTATACCCTCCTTTCCTTCTTCATTTCTTCTTAGAGTGCTTATAACCTTCAGCCTTACTAGAAAATGTATTTATTATGCTTATCATTTATTGTCTGTCTCCTTTGCTAGAATATAAGCTCATTGAGGGTGGGGATTTTTGTTCTGTTTGCAGATGTATCCCAAACACCTAGAATGGTACCCAGCATTTAGTAGGCCTATAATAAATGCTTGTTGAAAGAATGAATGAATAAAATTTTCACCTAGGGTTGAATTGATAACTTGACTCAGCTCAACTAGCCAAAGGAAACTAGGGAAAGTGACAATTGGGGAAATCCCATTGAGTAAAATGTTGTAACAAATCGCCTATTATACTCATCTCCCTCCTTCAACATACATATTGGAAAACTTGCTGTCAGGTAGGGACCATGGAAGGCCAGGGTCCTCGTTTGGAGGGTGATTTTGATCTGTGGATTGTATGTGTGCTTGTAGGTTCCCCCCTCCCCCGCCCCACATCACGTGACGCGTGTCGCTAGAGAGCCTGGGTCTGGCTTCAAAAGCACCACGTAGTCAGAGCCCTGCTCATCTCACTGGCCACCGTTTCTCCTCACTCCCTTTGAGCGAATGGGAGTCTGGCCATGTGCCAGACTGAGAGAGGGGCTGGGGGAAGAGCTCATTCTCAGTCTCTTACCATGGACTTTTCCTGGCAGCCAAGATGATGCGATGGCAAAACGCAGACCAATGGCTACTCCAGAAATGCATTGGCGGGGTCAGAGGGATGTGGCGCTTCTATACCTACCTCAAGGGCAGTGCAGGTGGGTTCTTAGAGTTGTTCCTGGGGCCTTTGCAAGTTCTTAACAGCTTCCGGGATACCCTGGAGCAGTTCTACTGCTGCTACTAACAGTTCTGTGTATCTATGGTGAATACAAAAAGTGTTTTATAATACAGCTTGGGTAGAAGTCTTTGGAAACTGGGGTCTATTGTGTAGGTTATGACAAAAGCACTCAGAGTCCCTTTCATTCATTCATTCATTCATTTAACAATGTTTATTGAGCACCACCGTATGGCAGCCACAGTGCTTGCAGGTGGGGATACAAAGGTGAACAAGAGCCCTAAGTCCCTGCTTCCTGAAGCTGACATGACAGTGGGGAGACAGACAACAAGTATATACACAAATCCCTGTAGCAAAAGTGCTTTCTGTTCTACTGGGTCCAGTAGGTGATGAGTTCTAGGAGGCTGGCAGTAAATACTAGCTGACCTTCCAGTTCAGCATCATTAAATTTGACACAGGAACAAATCTTAGTATAAAGGTGAAATTATGGATTTCCAGGGGTCAGGCAGGGAAGAACTAGACAGATTGTCTTATAGTTTGTCCTTCAGACTTCAGCCCTGGCAAAGCTGTAACACGGGGAATCAGTCTTTGGCACCTTTGGGCTCCAGGGTCCTTCTGCAGGCTGCTCTGGGTTCGTGATCTAGGAATTGTTCGTTTTACCCTGATCTTTATTTTTCGGACAAAACTTGAATGTCTAATAATCTATTCTCATGTGGTTTTTCCTAAACTGACAGTTTCTCTAACAAACCACCCCCCCAAAAAAAATCATGAAAGAGTCCTACCCATTATGTCCCTTTTCTCCATGTCTCCCATTAGCTCCTGCATCAGAACGTTTCTGGAAATGATCCCTTAAGCCAAAGGAGTGGCTCAGGGTGATGTTGGAGGCAGTAGATCAGGCTGGGGGTGGGGATGGGGTGGGGGTGTCAGCTGCCACACTCAGATGCAACCGCTGAAGGGACAAGCTTGGGGTGCAGCTCAGTCTGCTGTCTGATCCATAGGTGAAGAACTGGTGGATTTCTGGATTCTTGTTGAGAAGATCCTGAGCATAGATGAGATGGACCTGGAAGTGAGAGACCACTACCTTTCCCTCCTCTTTGTGCTGAAGGCCACCCATCTTCAGGAGAGCTCACAGGTGCTGACTCTCTGCAACATGAACATCAGTAAGAATCATAAAGCGTATCTGAGGTGAAATCCCTGGGAGAAGAAAAAATCAATCCAATGTCTGATACTCCTCAGTCTCTTGCCTTGCAGACTACTCCTCTCTCCATTAGGGATGCCAGTGGGAACCCTAACTCTTAACAGGGAATGGTTGAGAGACACAGTTGTCCTTAAGTTGGTATGTGCCTCTTCCTGAGATGATGTTTGTTAGTGAAGGTTAGCTGGAAAGAGTGAAGGGGAATTGGGACAAGGTAATTGAACAGTTCCTGCACTTTCTAAGCCTGCATGGCTTGTTTTGTGTTTTTCTGTTGTTTTGCTTTGTTTTCAATTAGGATTCTCTAGAACGAACTACAGTCCACAGGCCAAATGCAGTACATGTGGCCTATGAGCTAAGACTGTTTTTGTATTTTTTTAAAGCTTAAGACTGTACAACAGAGACTATAAAGGTTCACAAAGCCTAAAATATTTACTATTTAACTCTTTATAGAAAAAAAGCTTGCCAACTCCTTCTCTAGAACATCAAATTCATTCAAATGTATTTATTTATTAAATGAGGAGGCATTCCTAACCCAAATACAACTGATGTGCTCCAGAAGCTGCACTATTTGGGGTTAGTCACACTCATCTCTATTTATACAGATAATTGGGAATTGATGATATTAAAATCAGGGCTAGTCAGGACTTTACCAAATTATCCAGTCCAAGCTCCTTCCTTTGGTCATATCTAACTTTGAGAAATTCCATTCAGAGGTACATATTTCTTGTTCTTAAACATATTTGCTGGTACCACTTGCTTTTCTTTAAATAATGTTCAGTAGTCTAAAAAGTACCTTGAGGAATCTCACAAAATGGTTATTTCTCTGGGAAAGAAGCAAGGTGATCAGAGTAATAAGGCGTCATTGTGTGCTGAACAAACCCTAAAATCATGTTCACTTCATCTCTGACCTGTCTAGGGTTGCATGAGGAATGAATGAAATGCTATACACAAAAATGTTTGGAAAAATTCATAAACCTAACTATCCCCACATCATTTTCATCCTCTATCTCTCTTTATTCTTTCCAGAGGCCCTCCTGAACCTGTCCATCTGGCATCCCAACCAATCAACCACCAGGAGGGAGATCCTGAGCCACATGCAAAAAGTGGCCCTGTTCAAACTCCAGAGCTATTGGCTCCCCAACTTTTACACCCACGCCAAGACAGTCATGGCCAAGGAGGAATCATGCCAGGCTCTGATGCAGGAATACGAGACTCGCCTGTACAGTATCTGCTATACCCATGAAGGAGGGCTCCCTCTGAATATGAACATCAAGAAGGCCCACCAACCCCAGAAGCAGTACTCAAGCAGGAAGATCAAGAGGAAGATGTGGCACTTGATACACTGTGGCTCTTGGTCTCTGGAAATGGATACCAATCCAGATACCAATATACTGTCCCCCCAGGAACTGGGTGCTCAAGACAAGGTGGTTATACAAAAGCCTTTCCTAAAAGAGGCCTCTTCAAAGGACAGAATCATTAGTTCCCTGGAAAAGGATGTTCTCTATGCCAGGAAGTCCAATGTGAAGAAGAAGGCCAAGAGCCACCTCCACATGGAGGGCATCTTTGAGACAGCGTTCTCAACCCACCTGAGGACTGTCACCCCCATCATCAATTACTCCTCCCATGTGACCATCAAGAAGGCTGTGAAGCAGAACCTCTCCTTGGGGTACATCCACTGGGCCCTGTGTGCAGACGCCTGTGCAGGGAGTCCCTTCCGGGATCACCTGAAGAAGCTAAATTTGAAAGTGGAGACCCAACTCTTGGACCTCTGGCAGGACCTGCACCATTTCCTCAGTGTCCTGATGAGTAACAGGAAGACTGGGAAAGCCATCTTTCGGCACATGCTGGGCAACAGGATCTGTGAGCTCTACCTGAATGAGCAGATTGGTCCATGCCTGCCACTCAAATCCCAAACCATTGAAGGCCTGAAGGAGATGCTGCCTTGTGGGGATGTGAACCCCTGGATTCCCAGAACCCAGAAGGAGATCTGCAAGGTAGGCTATGCATCACAGAAATGGGTTGGTATCTGGAGGATTAGGTCAAGACTGACGAAAAATCCTACCTGGTCATCTATACTGACTAACTTAATGATATAACTACCCACACAATATGTATTGATGATTTGGTTGATCTCTTATAAGTAAGTTATGTAAATTCCCAAGAAGTAGCCAGAATCCTAAAGTAGGATAAAGGTGGAAAAGTAGTCACTACCCACCTTTTATTTCTCCCTCAATTCCCCCTGATATGGAGTCTCCCAACCTCAGACTCTTCTACTGAGGGATGTTTTAAGAACTCTGAGCTAAATGTCATGAATCAAAATACAGGGTCTCCCTTTCCTAGCCTAGCCATCATGGAAATGGGCAAGTGGGAGGATTTATTCTTATCCCCAAACACTAGATTAAAGCATGGGGCTATCCTAGACACCCACAGGAAGTAATAGGTTGGCTATTGTCAAAATCTTGGCAGAAAACAAGTGACTGAGCCAAATTGAGGAGAGAGCGCAATAAAAAGGGACTACTTACAAAGAAGGGTAGGGAAACCACAGGGCCAGTAAGGTGCATTGGAAGTTGTGCTGGACTAGTAGAGGAACCAGGCTTAGAACCTGGTTCTTACAGTTCTTGGCTATAAGTCCAGCACAATTTCCACTGCACCTTAATTATCCAGGATTGCCCATCTGGGCAGTGTTGGATGAGATCTGTCCAGGGGGTACAAAGTCAAAGTTGTCTGCACAGTTCCCAAGTAGAAGTTCCAGAGCCCTTCTCCCTACCTGCCCCACCCTTTGCGGAGGCATCTGGAACTAGATGGAGGCTTAGATAGGCTGTGTTTCCTGCATCAGCAAATCCACACAGCAAAGCTCCCTCCCTTGGCCTTTGGTCTGCTGCAAAGATATTAAAGGTATTTATATTATTATACAATGCCGGGCTATCACAGTTTCTAAGATTACAAATTTTGATATCATTTATGACTCACCTCTTTGTCTCACACTCGTGTCTAGTCTATGGGTGAATTCAGTTGGTCCAACCCTAAAAATATGCAGAATCTGATATTCCTCCCCTCACCTGTTATAACCACTCTTATCCAAGCTCTGTCCAAATTCACCTGGATCATTGCAATGGCTTTCTAGCTGATGCCTCTGGATCTACTCTTGACCCTCAGCAGATCCATTTCTGCACTGGCCACAACATAAGTTGTGTGATTTAACTGAAAATAAAAGTGAGGACATTGAAGACAGATGGCTGTCTCCAGTAAAAGCCAAAGTCCTTGCTAAAACCAACAAGGCCTACACTGTCTGTCCTCTGCCTCTCCTCTCTGGCTTCATCTTCCTCCGCCCCATGCTCATCACTTTGGTCATGCCAGACACATGGCCAGCTCAGCCATGCTGCTCCTACCTACTGTGTGTAATGTGTGGATCCCCGTACAACTGAGTCCCTGCCTCTCTCAGGTTTTTGCTCAAGTCATCTCAGTGAGGCCTTACTTGCCCACTTTACATAAAACTTCAGCCCTATCCCCATTTTACTTTTTTCCTTAGCACTTACCATGATCTGGATCCATGGATGTATCCTTCCACACATACATACACACACTTTGTATGTATGCATGTATAATGCATGTATAATCCTTATAAGGCACATGTATGCATTTGTGTGTAAAGTATACATCTGTTATATACACATATTCTTGTATTATATTTTAAATAAATATACAATATGTATATATGTTATATGTGTGTGTGTTATATAGATAGTTTTGTTTTGTTTTTTTTTACTTATTTTGCTTCTTTTCCTTCTCCTTATGAGGGCAGAGGTTTTTATGTTTTGTCACTAGTCTCCCAGCATGTAGAAAGCTACTGGCAGTATGGTGTTGAGTGCTCAATAGTGCATTCAGCAGACATTTGTTGAATCAATTAATCCCAACTGGAGATGACCCTTACTTTGGGCTTTGCTCAGGACAATATTTTTTGGTTTGAGACACTTGTTTCTATAAGAACTCTCATTTTCAACCATCTGTTCAACCATCCTCCAGTTATCCAGTTACCTTTTGTTGAATACTGATAGCATGCCAGCTAATATATGTCTGTTTCCTAACTTCTGATTCACTTATGTGAAAACAGAATCCATGTGGAATATAGGAAAAAAGTTTTAAATCCTGGTTTTATCACCATTTGGCTAGGTGGTTGGTTTCCAGGACCCTTTTAAGAATTAAATGAGATAGTACTTTACAAAGGAACAAATAAGTATGTAGATGTCAAATAATTGCCCTTCAGTAAAGGATTTGTTGTTTCTCTTCTTAAAGTGAAAGTGGACATGTTAGTCACTCAGTTGTGTCCGACTCTTTGCAACCCCATGGACTGTAGCCTGCCAGGCTCCTCTGTCCATGGAATTCGCCAGGCAAGAACACTGGAGTGGATTGCCATTCCCTTCTCCAGGGGATCTTTCTGACCCAGTAATTGAACCCTGGTCTCCTGCACTATAGGCAAACTTTTTACCATCTGAGCTACTAGGGAAGCCTCTTCTTAAATAAATACCAATTACTGTTCTCTGCGATTCAGAGAGAGGCTGTGATGGAAGCTGTCATATTCAGAGAAGCAAAGGAATACTTCCTGGTTGGTCATGGCTAATGTTTGCTATTCCATATCTCCAAATTAGAGAATCCAGAATCTGCAGCCTTCTCTTCTCCCATGTGAGTACTAGCAGGACAGAGGCAGCAAGCACCTCCTCATAATGCTTATGTTGTATTTGCATTTCAGCTCCTCAGCCCCTGGTATACTGAGTTCCTGGATGAAGAGGACTACTGGTTTCTCGTTTTTACAGTAGGAGGGACTTTGAGCTGGGGAGGAATCATGAGGTTGAGGGAAGAAAAGGGAGTTACTGCTCTTTCAGAAGCGCCCTTTGCTAAAGTCAATGAAATGTTGAGTATTTTTCTATCAACTGGGGTTGATGGTCTCTGATGTTCTAAAGAGAAACCTCTGAAGGAAAAAGATTCAAGGGCATAAGCTGGCTTTGAAGAAGTCACATTCATATAGAATTTCTCACTTATAGAGAAATTTTGATTTGAAGATGTGTGGTATGTATGGTGTGTGTGTGTGTATCTGTAAAAGAACAATAGTTCTTAACAAACTGAAAGTAATCAGAGTCCATGTGACAGGGAGGCAAAGAAGGACCGAGCTGTAAAAATCTTGCTTCTGGCCTAGTTCCTATAGCAAACGCTGTCTGCCACCATCTCCTTTTCTTAGACTCAGAGCAGGCTCATCAGCACCAGGTGGCATAAAAAAGAATCTATAAGCAAAGAAGAGATCATTCTTCTTTACAAGAGATTTGAGGCATCACTGGAGTTAAGCCAGGGTTTGGCTAACATGGAAGAAATGGAATCTATGCAATGGCAAAAGGTAGCTACTGAGAACCTGAAGCAAGGTGGGTCCCTCCAGGTAGAAAGGAAGTCTCCAGTGTTTCTGGCAGGTAAGGTCAGTCACCATAATTTTTTTTTATCCTTACATACAAGCAGCTGTGAAATATTAGTATTTTAGCATTAAGTATTTACTATGTGTCAGCACTATGCAATGCAAAGGTGATAAAGAGGACCTCATTTGATCTTCCAAATAACATGAGGTAAGTACAGGGTAACTGAGGCACAGAAAGGACAAGTCCCATTTCCAAGGTCACACAGTAAGTGGCAGAGTCAAGATCTGAATCCAGACTGACCGATTGCAGAGGCCCCCACTGCTCTGAAAGGGAGCCAGAGAACTCAAGTTTGAGCAGGCTCGTGCCTGCCAAGACATCACACAGTTATGCTGATTGCTCCATTTCATGCATCTGAAAAACATGTGCCATCCCTCCCCGGAATCAGGTCTAAGACATTTCTGTGGATATGTTTTTAACAGCCACTTGCTTCCCCCAGTATAACACACCAGCCACTCAGGCAGTGGAGAGCCGTGGTTAGGAACACAAGGCTCTGCTGTCTCACAGATCTGGGTTATATCCTAGCTCTGCTAGTAACTGTGTGAACCTGAACAATGTATTTAACCTATCTTCAAGCCCCGTTTCTCTCAACTGTAAAATGGGAATAATAGGCTTGTTGTGAAGATGACCCAAGACCATCCATGAAAGCTATTAACACAACATTTGGCAATAGTAAGAGTAGCCAGTATTGTTCAAATTGAACAAACTGCTTTAATTATCAGTGCTGAGCCAGTCAGAGTACTGCAGTGTTTCTCAAACTTCAAAGCACGATAAGTACTTTTGACTTCATTTTGGGAAATATATACCTGTATATGTATGTGTGTGTGTATAAATATATATTAAAATTTTTTCATAAAGCAATGCCTGTCCTTATTATATAAGATTATATACTCTCATATTCTCTATATTATTCCATTTCATTTTGTAAAAGCTGGTAATAACTGTTTTTTGACATTCTATTGAGTCATGACATACAAATTAGTAATCAGTTCAGTCACTCTGTCGTGTCCGACTCTGTGACCCATGAACTGCAGCACGCCAGGCCTCCCTGTCCATCACCAACTGCCAGAGTCTACCCAAACCCATGTCCATTGAGTTGGTGATGCCATCCAACCATCTCATCCTCTGTTATCCCCTTCTCCTCCTGCCCCCAATCCCTCCCAGCATCAGGGTCTTTTCCAATGAGTCAGCTCTTCACATCAGGTGGCCAAAGTATTGGAGTTTCAGCTTCAGCATCAGTCCTTCCAATGAACACCCAGGACTGATTTCCTTTAGGTTGGATCTCCTTGCAGTCCAAGGGACTCTCAAGAGTCTTCTCCAACACCACAGTTCAAAAACATCCATTCTTCGGTGCTCAGCTTTCTTTATAGTCCAACTCTCACATCCATACACGACCACTGGAAAAACCATAGCCTTGACTAGACGGACCTTTGTTGGCAAAGTAATGTCTCTGCTTTTTAATATGCTGTCTATGTTGGTCATAACTTTCCTTCCAAGGAATAAGCATCTTTTAATTTCATGGCTGCAATCACCATCTGCAGTGATTTTGGGGCCCAAAGTCAGCCACTGTTTCCACTGTTTCCCCATCTATTTGCCATGAAGTGGGCTCCAAAATCACTGCAGATGGTGATTGCAGCCATGAAATTAGTAATCAAGAGCTTTGAAAATTCATTTCCACCACTCCTTTGCTCTGTGAGCTTACTTGGCCAGCCACTGTATCTCCCTGAGTCTCATTTCCTCATCTATAGAATGGGGATGATGGCACTGTTGAAAGGATAGGCGGTAATGCATTTGCATAGCAAGTAGGTCCTCAACAAGTAGTACTTGTTAGACTCCACTAAAAAATGTAACCTTCACCTCTTTTAAAACTTTGAGGCGCACTCTGTGTACAAAGCAGGTTGCTTTGGGTGCTTGCCCTTTGGAACATACTTGGGCATAAGTTATTAAAAGCTAGCATGAACAGGCCATCTGGTTTACCTTAGGATTGCCCCTTCTCTAAATCCCAAACATTCCAAATCCTTTCCCAGGAATCAAGAGAAAAGTGAAAGGATGGCAGATAAATTTCACCCTATACGTGCTGGGCAAGGGGCATTCCCCTTGATGGCCATGAAATGCCAGGAGGAGTCAGGAAGAGTGGTAATCACCTCCATGGAGATGCCCCCTCCCTCCCTCCAGCATACGCTCCACCATTGCTTTCTTGAAATGCAAATCTACCCCAATGAAGGGCCTCCCATGCATTTGTCCGAGTCCGGGCCCTGGCTCCCCAAGTAGGCTGATGCCTCCACTCAGACTATACCATAAAGTCTCTGAGCATCAGAGCTAGAATACTCTCATATTTCTTGTAGAGAAACTGAGCTGAGATAAGAGTCTTGCCCAAGGTTTCTCAGCAAGGGAGGGATTGATGAAAGACTAGAAAACTGAATTGATAGCAGCAATAATCCACTGCTTTTACCACTACAGAGTCTTCTGACTGAGAGATGGTAATGATGACAATGACAATGTTGACATAAGACAACTGACATTCAGAGGGCCACACCCCATATTCCTTCTAGATTCCACCAGTATAACCTGAAAAAATCCTGGACTGCCCTGGAGAGTTTCAGGGAAACTGTGGGTGATGAAATTTACCCCAAATCTCAGAGCTCATAACACAAATGAGTGTTTTGACCTTGGTAGGCACAGTGCTGCTATTCTGCTATTGCCTATCAGTATCAGTTAAGCTGCTCAGTTGTGCCTAACTCTTTGTGACCCCATGGTCTACAGCATGCCAGACTTCCCTGTCCATCACCATCTCCTAGAGCTTACTCAAGCTCATGTCCATCAAGTCAGTGATGCCATCCAACCATCTCATCCTCTGTTGTCCCCTTCTCCTCCCACCTTCAATCTTTCCCAGCATCAGTGTCTTTTCCAAGGGAGTCAGTTCTTCGCGTCAGGTGGCCAAAATATTGGAGTTTCAACTTCAGCATCAGTTCATATTCATCCTTCCAATGAATATTTATCCTTCCAATGAATATTCAGGACTGATTTCCTTTCGGATTGCCTAATACCTCATTAAAACTTCTCTTGCTGCCTCAGCCTTACGGTCCCATCTCATTTTGAATACAGAAAGTCATTCCCTTCCAATTCACCATGAATGACTAGACATGATATACAGCTACGTTTAGAAAAAAATAATTCACTTTCAAAGGACAATGATTCACAACTATTGATGATATTCAGAGATATGTGTTGTCAATTCTGAAGGTAATTGCATCAAATTTTTTGGCACAATAGCAGAATGTTTGAATGCATTTGCAGCTCCTCCCTATACCAGATGGGGTTTGAAGGGATCCATATTCATTTGGATGAATTACTTCTAGTATATATGTTAACACTTAGTACCTCTTTCAAAGTCATATCAGTTACCCTTAGACAGAAAATTTCCATGGGTCAGGTCTCCCCAAGAAGGGCAAAAGCCTCCATTCTAGAGGACAGGAGAGGCAGTATTTTCTTGCTTCTAATTTGGCCTACGAAACTTGTATTTCCTATATAAACATTCCAGTAAAACACTATTGTCCTACTTAAATAGCATTTTAAAGACTATACTTGCAAAAAAAAAAAGTGAGTGAATCTTTGAAACCAGAGTAGACAATAAGACTCCATTTTTGTTTTTCACTGTTTGACAGACATAGAGAAAATGGCCTTTGAGGAACTCTGTTATAAGTATCCAAAGGTGGCCATAGAGAAGATCAGTGATGACTACAAAATATATTGTGAAAAAGTACCTCATATAGGTAAGTGTTTAAATTCAAGGATAGATATGAGACAACCAGGTAAGAGAGAATCTCGAAAACTCAAGAGGCATAAACCAAAAGAAGGATGGTCAGCAGAGAATGACCATGTCTGTCTTTCCTCCTACAAAGCCAAAGAAGGGCATCATGAAAGTCAGATTCAATCATAAATGAATGAAGATGACGATGAAATTGTTAATTCCTACCTTTTCACTTAGTTATCACTCTGAGGTTTTCAACAATGCAGACTTGTCTCCTGCCAAGATTTCTGGAGTCATAGTTTTGTGGAAGGAGATTTGTTGGGGAGTATGTTCTTAGAAATAACACCCATCTGGGGATGAGGAAAGCAGAACTGGGCAGAGTTAGATGCTGAACTGTGAGGTAGTTATGATAAACATCAGCAGATCCTAGAGGAAGCTCTAAAGCTAAGATAGCCCTTCAGAGTTGTCACTCACTGAGGCAAGAAACTTGTACCTCCTCACTGACTCAAATGGGCTGTGACTGACTTTGGGGGGACATAACCTTGGGTCAGGCAGTGCCCTTTGGCCAAAGACACTTCCAGAGGGGACCTCACCTGTGGCAGCAGTCAATAACTCCAGGCTTCTGGGACAATGAATGCTTTGCTCCTAAAGAAATGAGCTAAGACATGCACCAGAGCACTCAGTATTGTCCACTTACTTTGTAAGGAAATTTTACCCCACCTTGGAACAGTTCTTCCAGGAGTCTGGTGGCTTCTTTTCCTAGGGAACTTACATAAGAAATGCTGACACACACTATTACAGCTTGTCTGGAGATCACAACAAATACTCCTTTTCTCCTTGCTTTTCTGCTCATGACAGATTCCTTCTGTGGTCCTGCTAGTGGTTCTGCTGGTCTCGGGGGACTTGCTTGGCAAGATAACCTAGACTTTCACCCCTGAGAGACATGAGCCCTTGATCATCATGACTTCTCAGGCTGTGGCTGCTCACCTGTTGATTTATCACCACAGTTCGACAAGGGAATACCAAGAGTGCCAAGTGAATTCTGCACAGCCCCTGCTACATAACTGATGACCCTGATGATTATAGTCAATGGCCCTGCCAGTGCAGTGACTCCTTTGTCTCCCTGCTAGCCTTCTGGCATAAGGAGTTTCAACTCCTTATGCCAAGTGATTGAGCTCCTACTGGGTCCCTAGTAGTAGCATTCCCACTCTGGGATCCTGGACCTCCAAGTTGGCACAGTCCAATACAGGAGCCACTAGTCCCATTGTGGCCATTGAGCTTTTGAAATATAGTTGGCACCAATAGGTTAAATAAAGCACATTACTAAAATTAATTTCACTCTTTTCCTTTTAGTTTTTTTTAATTTGACTGCTAGAAAATTTAAATTTATGTAATATATGTGGCTCCCATTATATTTCTATTGGACAGCACTGGTCCAGATCCACAGAACCTAAAGTTGTAAGGATTAAAAATTTCCCTAAGTAAGTCACCAATACTAACGGTAAATGGATCTCTTCTACTGTCATCCCTTGATGCTCATAGTCAATATTCCACTCAATGGGGGCCGCAGCACCATATTATGGTCTTCGGTTTTTCCTGGAGGATGATGCCTCATTTTTCAAAAGGTATCATCTCCAAGCTGGCATGACAGCTAGGCCTTCAAAAAATGGCTTTGTTACTTCATTGATTTTCTCTATTGATTTCCTTACAATTTCACTGAATTCTGCTCTAAGTTCTATTATTTCTTCTCTTCTGCTTACTTTGGATTTTATTTGCTCTTCTTTTTTCACTCTCCTAAGGTAGAAACTTAGATGATTGATTTAGATGATCTTTCTATTTTTATATATGCATGAAATGCTATAAATTTTCCTCTAATTGCTACTTTTGCTCATCTCCCAAATTTTGATAAGTTGTGTTTTCATTTTTATTTAATTTAAAATACTTTAAAAATTTCTTCTTTGACCCATGTGTTATTAGAAGTATGTTTTTAAATCTCCATGTGTTTTGAGATTTTCCAGCTATCTTTCTGTCATTGAGTTCTAGTTTAATTGCATTGTGGTCTGACAGCAGATATATGGTTTCTATTCATTTAAATTTTTTAAGGTATGTGTATGGCCCCGAATATGTTCAGCATTGGTAAATGTTTCATGTGAGCTTCAGCCAAGTGTGTATTCTACTGCCATTTGATAAAAGTGGTTTGTAGCTATCTAGTTGATTGCTCTAGTTGATTGATGGTGTTGTTGATTTCAACTAGATCCTTATTGATATTGTGCCTGCTGGATCTTTCCATCTGTGACAGAGGGGTGTTGAAGTGTCCAACTTTGAAAGTGGATTTACACTTTCCTCCTTGTAGTTCTGTCGCACATAGAACTCTTGTTTTGTTCACATAGTTTGATACTTCATTAGGCACATGTATGTTAAAAATTATTGTACTGTCTTAGAGAATTGACCCCTTTATCATTATTTAATGCTTTTTGTTTATCTCTGATATCACTCCTTTCTCTGAAGACTGTTCTGTATAAAATTAATACTCTTCATTTTTAAAAAATTTATTTTTGTCTATGCTGGGTCTTCATTGCTGTACACGGGCTTTCTCTAGTTGAGGCTAGTGGGGGCTACTGTCCAGTTGTGGCCTGTGGGCTTCTCATTGCCATGACTTCACTTGTCGCAAAGCATGAGCTCTAGCCTGCAGGCTCAGTGGTTATGTTGCATGGGCTTAGTTGCATGTGGAATCTTCCCCAACCAGGGTCCCCTGCATTGGCAAGCAGATTCTTAACCACTGAACTACCAGGGAAGTCCTCTTCCTTTCTTTTGATTAGTGTTAGCATAGTATGTTTTTCTCTATCCATTTACTTATAATCTATATGTGTTGTTATATGTAAAGTCAGTATATAAGTAGCTAATATATAGTGCTTAGTGCAGCACTTTAACAGCATCATCTTTTAGGATTTGAAATAGCTCAGCTGGAATTTCATCACCTCCACTAGCTTTGTTTGTATTATGTTTCCTAGGGCCCACTTGACTTCACACTCCAGGATGTCTGGCTCTAGGTGTGACCACACCATCATGGTTATCTAGATCATTAAGACCTATTTTGTACAATTCTTCTGTGCATTCTTGCCACCTCTTCTTAATATCTTCTGCTTCTGTTTAGTCCTTGCCATTTCTTTCCTTTATTGTGCCCATCTTTGCATGAAATGTTCCCTTGGTATCTCCAATTTTCTTGAAGAGATCTCTAATCTTTCCCATTCTATTGTTTTCCTCTATTTCTTTGCATTGTTCACTTAAGAAAGCTTTCTTATCTTGCTTATCTTTCTTATTTCCTTGCTCTTCTTTGGAACTCTGCATTCAGTTGGCTATATCTTTCCCTTCCTCCTTTACCTTTCACCTCTCTTCTTTTTTTCAGCTATTTGTAAGGCCTCCTCAGACAATCATTTTGCCTTCTTGCATATCTTTTTCTTTGGGATGGTTTTGGTCACTGCCTCCTATACAGTGTTACAAACCTCTGTCCATAGTTCTTCAGGCACCCTGTCTATCAGATCTAATCCCTTGAATCTATTCATCACCTCCACTGTATAACCACAAAGGATTTGATTTAGATCATACCTGAATGGCCTACTGGTTTTCGTACTTTCTTCAATTTAAATCTTAATTTTACACTAAGGGACTCATGAGCCACCGTCAGCTCCAGATCTTGTGTTTGCTGACTGTATGGAGCTTCTCCATCTTTGGCTGCAAAGAACATAATCTGATTACTGTATTGACCATCAGGTGATGTCCATGTGTAAAGTCATCTCTTGCATTGTTGGCAAAGGATGTTTGCTGTGACCAGCTTATTTTCTTGACAAAATTCTCTTGGCCTTTGCCCTGCTTCATTTTGTACTTCAGGGCCAAACTTACCTGTTATTCTGCGTATTTCTTGATTTCCTACTTTTGCATTCCAACCCCTTATGATGAAAACTACATCTTTTTTGGTGTTAGTTCTGGAATGTCTTGTAGGTCTTCATAGAACTGGCCAACTTCAGCTGCTTTTGCTTCAATGGTAAGAGCATAGACTTGGATGACTGTGATGTTGAATGGTTTGCCTTGGAAATGAACTAAGATCATTCTGTTGTTTTTGAGATTGCACCCAAGTACTGTATTTCAGACTCTTTTGTTGACTATAAAGGCCACTCCATTTCTTCTAAGGGATTCTTGCCCACAGTAGTAGATATAATGATCTTCTGAATTAAATTTGCCCATTCCCATCCATTTTAGTTCACTGATACCTAAGATGTCGATGTTCACTCTTGCCATCTCCTGCTTGACCATGTCCTATTTACCTTGATTCATGAACCTAACATTCCAGGTTCCTATGCAATATTGTTCTTTATAGCATCAGCCTTTTACCACCAGACATGTCCACAACTGAGCGTTGTTTCCACATTGGCCCAGCTGCTTCACTGTTACTGGAACTATTATTAATTATCCTCTGCTCTTCTTCAGTAGTGTACTGGACACCTTCCAATCTGGGGGGCTCATATCCCGGTGTCATATCTTTTTGCCTTTTTATATTGTTCATTGGTTAGTCCAGTCAAGAATACTGGAATGGTTACCATTTCCTTTTCCAGGGGACCAGGTTTTGTCAGAACTCTTCACTGTGACCCATCCATCTTGAGTGGCCGTATGCAATCCACAAAAACACAAACTGGCAAGGACATCCATACAAAAATGAGTTATTTATGAGTTACATAAATCCCTTCATTGAGTTATATAAATCCCTTTGCCACAACAAGACTGTGGTCCATGAAGGGGAGTTTTAGGGAGCAAGTGCCCATAACAGCTGCTACCTCAGGCCATTGGTCACTGGGGACTTTGGTTTTTCTACACGCATTCAATGTATGATAATGTCCTTCATACTTTGTTCTTTCTTACTGTCTTCAGTGTTCTTTATAATATGATGTTCCACACTTTTGTAATTTTATTTTTAGATTTTACTGTAGAAATTGTCCGAGAACCAAAGATGATTTTACCCTCAAAAAGGAGAATGTCATTCTTTAAAAGGGCTAATGTGAGGAAGCCTTCAATGAGACCCAGGTAAGACATAGGATCTGGTCACAACAATATGTCCAGGCACAAGCTCTCCTTAATCAAACTGTACATGCACAGGGATACTTTATTTTAAATCACTATTTATTTTCTAAAATTTGCACCATGCAATATATATTATACAATAGCTTTTTAAAACTTAACAAACTATCATGGATATCCTTTCATGTCAGTATAAATAGATTTACCTTCTTCCATACTATGGATATTGCATGGTTTATTTAACTATATATTTTTAATGAACATGTATATTATCTTTACTTTTTCATTGCTATGAATACTACCCCAAGAAACATTTTTGTATGGATGTCCTTTCCAGTTTGTATTTTTGTGGATTGCATATAGCTGTAGTAGTCTCCTAACTAGCTCCTTACTTTTTGTCTCTCCCCTTTATGATCAGTCTTAGAGTCAGCTTCTGATAAGTTCCCAATGCTAGACAAAGAGTCTGTGATCTTTTCTTTCAGAAATGCTCACTCTTTCTTTCCACTAACCTTAGCACAAGTTCCATCTCTACAAAATAAAGTCCTCCAGTTGTATGTCTGCTGTGACTTCCACCTCCTCTGAAGTAATAAACCTTTAAAATACAAGAACTTACCATGTTCTATTTTTTACTACTTTTTAATTTTTTAAGTATGTTTTCCACCTTCTCAACTTGACGATAATTTTCTTATCCATGCCATTCATTGAGACACTTATTTTTTAATTTATTATTATCTATTAATGACTGGCTGTATGAAAAGTTCTCTTATAGATGATAGAGATATATTAACACATACAAATTTGTTAGTCGATGTCATTGGCAGAATATTTTATATAGAGAAAGCTTCAAGAAGTATGCTTTCAGTTACTGATAACGTTCATTGAGGGTTATAAGTCCTCTGTCTCTTCTAAATTCTCTAGATGGAGCTTCCTCCTCTTCAAGGAACTAAAATTATTCCCTGAAGTTCAATCATTTATCCTTTTTAAGGAACTGGAATTATTCCCTGAAATTCAATCATTTATTCCTTTTGCTGTTCCAGTTTGTACTATTCACCACTCTCCACTATGTCTACAGAAATATGTAGTTCCCAATTTAGTTGAATATAAAATAAGTCTTTTCTTTTCCTTCTCTCTCTCTCTTTTTTCTTTCTTTCTTTTTTTTTTTTTTGATCACTCCATGCAGCTTGTGGGAACTTAATTCCCTGACTAGGGATTGAACCTGCACCCTTGGCAGTGAAAGTGTGGAATCCTAACCACTAGACCACCCGGGAACTCCCCCAATCTAGTATTATGTTCTATGTCCCTTCACCCTGTGTATTCTGTGATTTAACAGATTTTCAAGTCTATTTGAAAATTTAGTATTTTCAAGTCTGTGAATACTATAATATATATCTGAAACTAATATAATATTATAAATCAGCCATACTTCAATAAAAAAACAATGGAGACTAAAGGTGGTGGGATGATATATTCAGACTAAACTCAGGGGAAGTAGAAGGAAGTAAATAATACACAAGAGTGGAAATCAATAATATGAAGAGAAGAAAAATGAGAAAATCCAAGCACAAATAGGTTTTTTGTAAAGATTAATAAATTGATAAACCATTAACTATACTGACAAAAGGGAAAAAGTGAGATGACACAGATATTCAAAACCTGGACCAAAAGAGAGGACCACTGACCCTAAAGAAACTAACCTGTTTGTAAGAAAATGCAAGGAGTATGACAGTGACAATTAGATGAAATAGAGAAATTTCTAGAAATACCCAAATTTCTGAAACTGACTCAAGAAATAGAAAATGTGAGTAAATTTCTATATCAAGAGAAGAAATTGGATTAATAATTTAAAATCTCACAGATAAAAGTCTAGACAGATGGCTTTACTGGAGAAAGCTATGAAATAGTTAAAGAGTAAATGCTACCAATAGTCTACAAACTCTTTGAGGAAACAGAGGAAAAAGGAACACTTCTAATATGTTTATGAGGCCAGCAAGTATTATCCTGATCCCAAAGCCAAACAAAATTATCGTAAGAAAACTACAGACCAATATCCCTCTAAAACCTAGGTGTGAAAATCCTCAATAAAATATTAGCAAACCAAATTCAACCACATTTAAAAAGGATTATATACCATAACCAAGTGGGATTTATTCTAGGAATGGAGATAATGCATCTGAAAATAAATTAATAGAATGCATCATGTTAATAAAATAAGGGGAAAAACTTCACACAAGTATCTCAATTGATGCATTAAAAGCATTTTATAAAATCTAGCATCCATTTATGATAAAAATTCTCAATAATCTTAGAAGGGAATCATCTCACCCTTAAAAAATACATTTATCAGAGGGTGAGATGAATGGAGAGAGTCGCGTGAAAGCATATACATTACCACATATTAAATAGATAGCCAGTGGAAATTTGCTGGTTGACTCAGGGAACTTGAACTGGGGCTCTGTAACAACCTGAAGGGGTGGGAAAGGGTGGGAAATGTGAGGGAGGTTCAAGAGGAAGAGGTCCTATGTACACCCGTGGCTGATTCATGGGCTTCCCACAGGGCTCACTGGTAAAACAATCTGCCTGCCAAGGCAGGAGTTGCAGGAAACTCAGGGTTGATCCCTGGTTTCGTAAGATCCCCTGGAGAAGGAAATGGCAACTACTCCAGTGTTCTTGCTGGAAGAATCCCATACACAGAGGAGCCTAATGCATGGCTACTTCATGTTGATGAATGAGAGAAATCAAACCAATATTGTAAAGCAATCATCCTTCAAATTAATTAATTAAAAAGAAAAAAAACCTATAGCTAGCATCATTCTTAACAAGACAAGTATGTAATAGGAGAAGAACAAGTTGGACAACTTGTGAATTTGTATGGAGAGGTTCTACCAATGACAAATGACATAAAGATAAGGTTCAATGGGCAGCTGAAATTGTGGAGTTCACAGAAACTAGAGATATAGCTTCACAGTAACAGTGAAAGTTGAAATCACTTCCTCATATCAATGAAAACTGAAACCACAGAGGATGTAGAGATTACCTAGCAGAAAAAAATCATAAGGCAAGAGTCAAGAGAATTGAGTTGAAACATTAGGGCAACACCTGTACACAAGAAACAGTGAAAGAAGAAATCAACAGTGGAAATTTAGAAATATTGATCTATAACACTGCTGGTCACTCATGCTCTGTCTTGCTGAAATGACTGCCAATGAATCCATAATGGAAGAAGTTTTCTTTGAACAACAACAAAAAGCCCCCTTTAAAATACTCCTTCTCTTCTTCCATTGGGGTTGTCAAATGATTAGACCAAGCTTAGGACAGGTACAGTAAGTTCATCTCCATGGAAATAAGCAGAGTAACCAGTTTATCCACTCTGCTCTTCAATCACAGTTCAAAGCCCTGAAGTCTGCGAGAGACCCTTCCCCATTGCCTAATTGGAGCAGAATCCAGGGTCACCATCTCTTTCTCTCCACCAATGATGCTTTCTTGTTTTCCAGAAACTTGACAGAAGTCCTCCTTAACACACAGCATTTGGAGTTCTTCAGGGAGTTCCTCAGAGAACGGGGGGCTGAAACCCCATTGCAGTTCCTGGTAGCCATACAGAAGATCAGTGTTGAGACAAATGAAAAGATTTATAAGTCTCTCTTTGAAAACATAATCAATACTTTCTTCCACGGCAAAAACTCTCCTGGTATGCATTCTCCTCTCCTGAAATTTTTTCCTTTACTCTTTAGAATCTTAAGTTTCGGGACGAGACTGCTCTCTCCCTGAGAAAGCAGAACAGAGCAGCGGCCACATGGGGCAGTGTTGAGACAAAGCAGAAGACCGAGAAAGCAGAGAATAATAATAAATGCACTTTTCAAAATTGAAGTATAGTTAATTTCCATTATATTCATCTCAGATATAAAGCATAGTGATTCAGGATTTTATAGAGTATAATCCACTTAAAGTTATTATAAATTACTATATTATATAATGTTGTATATTATATTATATAAAGTTAATATAAGATTATATTCCCTGTGCTATACAATACATCCTTGGTGGTTGTGGGGAAGTCACAAAATCATGTCCGACTCATGCAACCCCATGAACACTACTAGCCCACCAGGCTCCTCTGTCCATGCAATTTTTCCAGGCAAGATTACTGGAGTGGGTTGCCATTTCCTTATCCAACAACATATCCTTTTATCTTATTTATCTTATACATAGTTCATATCTCTTCATCCCCTCCTCCTATCTTGTTCCACCTCCCTCCCCTCTTCCCACTGATAACCACTAGCTTATCCTCTATATCTGTGAGTCTGTTTATGTTCTGTTATATTCATTTTTTTTATTTTTTAGATTCCACATATAAGTGATAACATACAGTGTTTCAAAAAAGAAAAAACAAATCAAGTCTACCATTCTTTTTCTTAAAGATAAAACTGAAAGAAAGACACATAGGCCCAAAAAACTACATGCATTGTTGTTCTTTTATATGTAACCATTCTGAAGTATAATATTGATAAGACAGAATGGATAGTGGGTTAAAATCAGAATGTGCTTGAAGCAGGAGTTTTATTTAAATTCTTAACATGTGTTAGTATTTAGTTTTTTATAAATAGGAAAATTGCTATAGAAAAACTAAAATAATGATACAATAATAAATCCAAAATATAATACCACAAATAAAAGAAGACACTTGTATGTGAAATATATCCTCTCAACCCTGAAAGTAGGATTTAATTTAATCCTTAAGAGATAGGTACAAATAACTTAGAAGATAGGGATAAATAACTCCATTTTTCTAATGAGGAAAGTAAAACATGGAGAAGTTAACTAACTTGCCCAGTTAGTAAAACTTGAATTCAAACTCCAGTCATTTGATCCTTCACATCAAGTAGACTGGAGTTAGATCCAAAATCATGTGTTAGCAGGATGCAAAGCTAGAGTGTCCACCATCCATGGGATGTAAAGAGTACTGAAAGGTGCTGAGAAGAACTGTCTCCCTGAAAATCTTTGTTGCATAAGTTTTGTCTTGTTTTCTTGCCTAAGGCAGGAGGGTAAATCTGATCCATGTAAATTCATCTTGTCTAGAAGCGGAAACTGCAAGTAAAGTACTGACCTATAATTCTAGAGGAAAACAAAAGGGGGTGAGCGTGATCCCATCCTGGAGGTAAACAAATCTTGTAAAGCAATGAAGAAGCCTCCTGTTTTGGCACAGATGAACAGATAGGCTTGTGTGTGTGTGTGTTGCTTGTGTTAAACCAAGATAAGGTTATAAATTATGAAAGCAGAAAAAGCAGTAAAAGGGGCAGGTCTTTACTTGTAAGTAATATTTATTTATTGAGCCACAAGATATTAAGTTTTGTGCATCATTTTGAATGAGCTAGAAGAGAAAGGAGAATATGCAGATCCTGTCCTTAATAAGCTTTTAAATCTTTTTAATGAACACAGTAGTCTTTGAACACCTAGAGAATCATACTGCCCTTAGAATATTTATTATTAATCTTGGATTTTCCATCTGCCTCAGCCATTTAACTTTAATCCTTTATTCCTCTATTCTCTTCCTTAACTGAAAACTTCAAACTAGCTGCAGAAATGGAGTCCTTTAAACATTGCTTTCCCCTTATGCACTTATCTTTGAAATTTGGAATGGACTAAACCCGGAAGTATTTGCTCTACAAATACGTGCACATATAGCATTCCAAATGTACTTTTGAGATTTTCAGCCAGATTGTGGAGAGCTGAATCTGGCCAGATTGAGAGCAAGGAACCATCAGGCTCTCGGATGAAAAAAATCCTAGCCACCTCAGAAATGGTACATGAGAAAATGATGACTTTTCTTCTCTCTTGCATTTTTTAGAACAAATGCTGCAGTGTAATGCCCCTATTATCAAGGAAGTCTCTCTCATGCATCATGTCAGCACAACAACGTTGTTAATGCTCCAGGGCTATGTCATGAAATCTCTGGAAGAAAAGTGGTGAGTGTTGCTGGGTGAAGGCAGCGATTCTCTGAAGCTGCTCATTGACTTCTGAAAGTCACATTAGTCTCAGAGTCTACTCTCACGGTTCACTGCCAGAGCGTCCCTACAAAATAAAAGCTGAACTTGCTCTGAACCCTCTTACCTGCCTACCTGCACACACACACACACACACACACACACACACACACACACACATTTCTGTTCACCTGCCTGAGCAAGGAACACTACAGTATTGGTCAGGAAGAACAGACTGACATGAGCAAAGGATTGGAATGGTTACAGAAGTATTTTTTAATATCTCACCATTCACCAAATTCCCCTTCCTCCAAAAGCTGAGAGAGGTTTGCCTGGACTGTTACCTTTTATGTACCATGTTTTTGCCTTCCTTAATATTCCTGGTCTCCTGCTGGCAGGTTTAAAGATTACCAAGAATTGTTTCCACCTCTTCCTTTGGAGAAGGAAGTTGAAATACCACTAGCTTCACCCAAGAAGCCCTCAAAGACAGCAGTTTACCTGCAGGAATCCCAGGTCAGTGGGGAAGCAAGCAAAGACAAGACTGGGGACCAGGAAACCACTGCCTAGGCATTGCCAACCACACAGAAGAGTTTCACTGCTTATTTATTCACCAAAGCAACTACTCTTTGGGATAGGTTTTCAAATCCCCATTTACAACGGAAGAATTTGAGGCTCAGAGCAATTGTTACAGAGGGGATTTCAAGAAACCCCTGTCTTCACTATTTGTTATTAGAACCAGTTGAATGACAGGCACAGAGGCTGGTCATATGGAGATCAAAATGTCAGTTTGTTTGTTTTTGACTACTGAAAGCTGATTTGGAGGGCATGGATTGGCTGTGAAGTCAAGTGGGTTAAATAATCCTCTCTGTACCCTTACTTATTTACATGTCCAGTCACTAACAAAGAGGAACAGTGAGACCCCCACTTAGCCGGGTGAGCTCCCTACTGTATGACAAAAGGCAGGCCTGAACACAGGTGTCTGCAGACCAGCAGCCCCCAGAGAGAACTCAGGAGGCTAAAGCACAAAGCCTGCCCTTTTCCTGCTTCCAAGCTCATCAACTATCAAATTCATTCTTTCTTCCATGGGAGGACAGAAGAAGGAAAGAAAGAGGAGACAGGAATATGATTCAGGAAAGTCTCTTCATAGGGTTTGAGAAAAAAAGTACATACTCCTCTTAAATAATCACTTGATCAGCATGTTGTAGAACTGGTCATCAGAAAGATTTGCACCCAACTCTATCTGACACTAAAGATCATGCCAAAGAATCTCTGAAAAGAATGCCTATGCCACTCACAGATATAAGGAAGAAATTATGGTTACCAGTGAGGAGAGCAAAGTAGGGAGGGACAAGATAAGGGTCAGGAAGGAAGAGTTATTATGGGACTATATGAAATCATATGTGTGAAGTTTTTGAAAATTGTAGAGTACAGTTTAAAGAAGTTTTCATTCAATTTTTTAAAAAAAGATGTGACAAAGAAATTTTTTAACCCAACAGAACTCCAAATCGTATATGTATTATAATCACAACTATATCAAATTATATACCCACTGGGTGAAATAAAAACAATTACATTAGAATAGTGAAAAAATAATGCCTATGCCCACTGATGCAGAATCCCAGGTATGATAACATGCTGCTCCCTTCTTTCTCCTTTTTATTTCCTCCATATGTGGATCAACTCAACTCTGTGTCAGGGTACCATGAATGATCATTTGGGAGAGTGAAAAGAATACTGCATCCAACACCAGGATGCTGAGTTTTAATTTCAGGTCTTTCAGTTGCTGTTAGTTAAGAAGGTGTAAAAAAGGATTCAGCATGTCCTTAGTGCCTGCTTTGTGCTGAGCACTGTGCATAGTGATTGATGTACATATATTATGACTAACCTTCACCATAACCCTGAAGGCTATTGTTTCTTTCTTACACATGGAGACATTGAGACATACATTTAGGAAGTTGACCCAAATTACCCAATTAAGGTGAAGATAGGCTCCAGACTCAGAACTTCTGACACTAAATCCAGTCGTTTATATGCTTTGCCACTGACTGTCTATGGGCTTCCCAGGTGGCTCAGCATTAAAGAATCCGCCTGCAGGAGACGGCAGGTTTGATCCCTGGAGGGATCTCCAGGAAGGTACCCTGGAGAAGGAAATGGCAACCCACTCCAGTATTCTTGCCGGGGAAATCCTATGGACAAAGGAGCCTGGCAGGCTACAGTCCATGGGGTCATAAAAGAGGCAGACACAAATTAGCGACTAAAATTCATTCATTCACTGGCTCTCTAAAGCCAAGCTTACATTGAAGTTTCCTCTCTATGAAATGAGACAACTGAACTAGTTGATCAAGATTCTTTCTGGCTCTAAATATCAGCTTATCAAGGGGCAAATAAACTAGAGAACTGTCACTGGGAATCTATTAAGAAACAGGTGAAGAAATGTGACATGCATTTTTAATGTGTCCCTGTGTGTTGGTGGGGAGGGAGTGTATGAGTGTGTGCACGTGTAGTTATATTTTTCTTTTATAATGCTTAGAAATGATTTACTCATTTCCTTATTTCTTCATCATTTCAAAATCTGCTTGAGCTATTACTCCCCTTCCTGTGAGTCATGCTTATCTCTGTCCTCTGTCTCTTTCTGTTTTTAGCTCTCACATGCCCTTTCCCATTCATGGCATCTCAAATCTTCACTGTAGGAAGACGATGGTAGAAAGAACATTGTCAGTGGCCTCAACCATGCCTGGGTGATTCTGGCTTTTTCTGGGGAAGGTTATATAAGTTATTTGACCTGAGTTTCCTTACTTTTAAATTGAAGCTAAAACTTACTCTTTTTAACGGAGGTGTTGTGAGGATTCAGTGTAATAAATGTCGAGTTTCTGGCACATAGTAGACTCAGTGAACAGCAGGCTGTGCTAATGAATATGTGGTGCTCCTTTCTCTTTCCCCAGAAGAGAGGTTGGCTGAAGATGATCAGCTTTATCAGGAGCTTTTGTAATTACCGCAAATTTATGTCTCATCCCCATAAGCGCCAGGAACTTGAAGACTATCTTCACCAGGAAGTATACAACAAGGAAAGTAAGTCACTTCTCTATTTATTCCTCTTCCCTGTTGATACAAGGGTTGATACAAGCTACAAGGGTTAACCCAGGTAAGAAGCTACAGAGCTTGTTGCTTTATGTCATGCTATTGCAGAACCACAGCTGGGTTCACTTACTTACCTGCAGTACAGCCAGTCTTCCAACACTGAGTTGTGGTGAAGAAAGGTATAGCATTTTTTGCAAGGCATCCAACACAGAGCCAAGCAAGCAAGGAGCATGAGCAGCTCATGCTCAAAAGACCCGAACTCGTGTTGCCTCTTAGGGAAGGATTTTTAAAGGCAAGATGAGGCAGAGGGTTGCAGGGTACCTGATTAGCTCATTGACATTCTTCTGACTGGTTGGTCAGAAGATAACTAGGGGTCAACCTCATCACCTTCTGGTTCAAATTGATCTGGGATCTACATGCTGGTGGTCAGAATGCAATTAACTTCTTTCACCTGATTGGGGTTTTAGTGTTCATAAAACAACTCAAGGATATAGCTCATATAGATTATCATCTATAGCCTTTGAAGAGGAACCAAAGGTCCTTGGTTGGATAAACTATGGATAACTATTATTATTTTGTCTTGGTTGACTCTTTTCCTTAGTTGCTGCTGCATTTTCTCACTTCTCTGATTCAATTTGTTCTTTGGAACTCAGAGAAGGCCCAGGAGGCTAAAGCTTTTCTACAAATAAGAGGCAGGGGACTTGGGGGGTGGAGGTGGGGGTGTCTGTCCCTGGGAAGGCCCTGCAGGGTCCTGTTTGCTTTCAATGCTTGCATTAGCCTGGGGTCTAGCAAGAACTCCAGGTCCTGGGTATGAAGGCAAGCCTAGTTCCACATAGTGAGGATGTGAGCCCAGTGCATTCTGTTTCAGAAGCCAGGAAAGAAAGGTAATGATCAGTCTCAAGAACTTTGAATTCTCACATGTTACAAAACTACTTCCTCATGTTGTTTGTGTAGATTTTTGCAACTACCTCATTCATTAGTTCATTTGTTCATTCAGTACACTTTCTGAGAATCCACAGTATGGCCAGCACTTTTCCAGGTGCTGGAGACACAGTAGTGAATTTGCAGCATATGATCAGCCCTTATGGCTTCCCATTTTTAGGGCAAGACAGAAAATGAGAGTCACAGATATTGGAGCCAGATTGCCTAGATTCGAATTTGCCACTTTTTAACTGGAGGGTCCTGCATAAGTGACTTTGTGCCTCATCTGTAGAATGGAAATAATAACTGTGTTGTTGTAAGAATTAAATGAGTTAATACATGTAAAGCCTCTTAGAACTATTCTTGGCAATAGTAAGTGCTATAAAAGGGTAGAGGCTTCTCAGGTGGCAGCAGTGGTAAAGAACCCACCTGCCAGTGCAAGAGATGTAAGAGACATGGGTTTGATCCTTGGATGGGGAAGATCCCCTGGAGGAGGGCCTGGCAACCCACTCCAGCCTGGAGAAGCCCAGGCCCAGAGGAACCTGGAAGGCTACAGTCCATAGGGTTGCAAAGAGTCAGACACAACTGACGCAACAGCACACAGCATGCACACATAAAAGGTTTAGTCAGTATTGCTATTTTTATAGAATTGTGATGAATGATCCCATTGATAAATGTTAATTTCTCTCTCTCTCTCTGTCCCTCTCCCCCTCTCTCAGATTTCTCCACAGCCCCACACATATCAGGACGCCCAATACCACATCCCAGTGCCCGGAGCATAGATCTAGAAAATGAAGACATAGTCCTTATAAAGCGCCGGGTATTTGGTCACAGGATTATCATCATCAACTATGCCATCAATGATTTCTATTTCTTTTCTGAAATGGAAAAGTAAGTTTCCTATCTCTCCTTCCCCTCACAGCTTTCCACACTTAGTTCCTCCCAGCAAAGACTGGAGTGGCCTGGAAGTGACACAGGAACTTCAGCTCTGCCAGGCAGCAGCCTCCACCTGAAAATCTCACTGCGTAAGGTCCCTGAATCCATGCCCACCATTCTTTCCTCTCGATCTTAAAAGCTCCTCCATATTCTGCAGTTCCCGGTGTTGAAATGCACTTATTTATACCCAGGAAGTGGAGCACTTTTTCCCTATTATTTGTTAATATGATAGATGTCCACTTATGTTGCATAACTGGACCAAAAGTTCTTTTGTTAAAGCAAGGTATTATAAAATGTGTGTGTGTGAATGTATGACATGAAGCAGATAAATTTTTAAGTTAAAACATATTCATGTAAATTTACCTGTAAAACTTGAAGTAAAGCCAAAACCATTCCACTAATTGGAGGTCTACATATTTTTCTTGTGTAAACCATACCCAAAATGCGATCTACTATTTCTAATTTTTCTCTTCTGTAGTGGAGGGAGAAACTATTGTTACTGCAAAGCAATTTAATCCTTCTGGATTTTTATACTTGTTTTTTCAACATTTAAAATTGCCTTCCACACCTATCTAACTCAGTAGTAATTTTTAATTTTTAAAAATTGGAGTCTAGCTGATCTCATTAGCCATTTTTAAATACAGTTTTTAAAATTTATGTTATGTGGGATCTTAGTTCCCCCGCCAGGGATTGAACCCTCATCCACTGCATTGGAAGTGGGGAGTCTTAGCCATTAGGCCTCAGGGAAGTCCCAATAGCAATTTTTTAAATAGAAACTTGCCTTTCTTGGAACATCCCAAGCATTCAAATTTGTTTTCACAAAAACAACAAATTCCTTTTCTTTTTATGTTCATAGTTTGTCAATTTTCATAAATTACAAACTAAAGTAACAACAGACAAAAATATTTGGGAAGAGATATGAATGACTCTCTGTAACTATTTGCCTCAGTTAGTTACAGAAAAGTGAAAGAGTTCATGAAACGGTCCCAGCAATGTATATGGTGGGTGTGCTGTTGGTATCAGGCAACGTGTTCTTTAGACGTGCAGGGCACCTACCTGGTAACTCAGCACACCAGTTAAGGGTGTTTGGTTAAAAGATCTTCCACTGGCACCCCAAGGAAGAGTTTGGCTCAGTTTCATATATATTTATTGATTATTTATTATTTCTTAAGCACCGAATTTAGCATTGCAAATATTAAAAAATAAAAAACCTGCTAAGGCAGGCATGTTCTCTGTTCTCCAAGACCCCACCAACTAATGGGATGGCAGACAAAAAAACACAAATGGAAGTTAAGAAGTAGGATGATAGTTGTCAAGTCAAGCCCAGGAAGTACATTTAGAAAACTGAGTGCTTAGGAGTGGTTTCTTGGGAGACAGGTCACCTAAGCTGAACTTTGAAGGATGAGTAGCGGTTAGTGAGGTTTTTTCCTAAGTGTTCAAGGGGGAGGCGACTGAGGGGCAGAAAAATAATACCAGTGTGAACAGCCCTCCCTGGTGCTCCAAGTCCTGCCACCATCGTCTCTGCTTTCTCACTTGCCCTCTACAAACTTGTCCACACAGCAGCCAGAGCAGCCTTTTCTCAGTGCAGACCAGTTATATCACTCTCCTGTTTAAAGCGTGCCAGCAGCTTCCCATTCCCACTGGGATGAAGTCCAGACATCCTCTCACTGCCTAAAGAGGCTTGATGAACAGAGCCTGCCTGTATCTTGGAGCTTACCACACGCTACCTGCCACTCGCCCCGTGCTCTCGCAAGGAGGGTCTGTGCTCTGTCCTCCCAGTGTCCCCCCAGGATGGTGCCTGCCTCAGAGCCCTTGCACCCCTGCCCTCTTGGCGGGAAGAAGCCCCTGCCCTCCGATCGTCAGATGGACTCTCTTTTTCTTTTTCATTGTACAAGTTCAGTGCCTACCCGTTTCCTATCACTCATCCCTTTTTGTTTTCTCCTTAGCATTCTACTGCATATTGAATTATTCATCTGTTTACTTAAATCTGTCTTCTTCCTCTCACTGATTATGAGCTCCTGGAAAGCAGGATATTGTTTACTGTGTTCACTGCTGAACCCCTGCTCCTGGAACTGCACCTGCACAGAGTAAAACCTTATTAACTATCCACTGATCAAGCATATGAATGGACATGCAGAATAGGCTTATAATGGGAGGCCCATGGTACTCTACTCTTAGGAAGATTTTAAACAGTTAGGATTTAAAATGGCCTGAGAGAAGTATGCAGTGTACTTAAGGTATAACTGACAGATATTTCGGTTAGTAAAAGAATATGCTGCTAGAAGACAAAAAGTAGTTGCTGCCAGGGACTGGAGGACAGGCGAATGGGAGTTAGTGCTTATTGTGTATGGAGTTTTAGTTTGGGCAGATGAAAAAAGTTCTGGAGTCAGATGATGGTGATGACTTCACATTTTATATGGATGTACTTAATGTCACTGACCTCTACACTTAGAAATGATTAAACTGGAAATCTTATGTCCTGCATATTTTACTATAATAAAAACATTTAAGGAAAGGAATATGTTGCTTCAGAGAGTGGTGGTAATTGTGAGAGGGTCAGCACAGGAGGGTAAAAAAGAGGAAACTAAGACTTAGCTCTTGAAATAATTGCAGGCAAAACTGATGAAAGGTCCAGGATGGGTAAAGAAGGGAGGATGGGATAAATAAGGGAGTTTGCAGTGAAGAAATATACTTGAAGAAGCACTTGGCATAACCTGTGACATGTGGTAGGTGCTCAACATTTGCCAATGGATGAATTATGATTGAATGAATGACCTGGCCCAGGACTAGCTCTTATGTTCTTAGGACAGAAATAGATCTGGGCCAGAAACACTGTTTAATCTTGCATTTTCTCCTTGCTAATTTCCTCTTTACTACTTCTTTTTAGATTTAATGATTTGGTGAGTTCAGCTCGTGTGCTACAAGTCAACCGGGCATACAACGAAAATGATGTGGCCCTAATGAAGTCCAAAATTAGTATCATCCTAAAGCTGTACCTGCATGCAGATGTCCCTCCAAGGCTGAGAGTAAGGAGCACCCCCACTCCACTCTGGCCTTTTGCCAAGAAGCATTTCCCACTACAAGAATCCTGAAAGCTTTCATAAGGCACCTCCTAGGTCTGGGTCAACCCGATAACCTTTACCTAGCAGTCCCATTAAAAACTTCTGCCTTTGGGGAGGGGATGGTCATAAAAGTCCTGAGGTCCAAAAGAGGTTTCCTGCCTTCCCTGGAACCTCTGCCAGTGACAGGCTCCTACTCTGCGGGTAGGTGAACATCTCTGATGCCCAGAAGGACACAATCCTTGCTGCCATTTCAGACGGCCACCTGGATCGGAGCATCTTCCACGGGGCTATCATGTCTCTCTTCCCCATCATTATGTACTTCTGGAAAAGGTAACTATCTCCCTTCATCTGAGGACCATGAGGTCAGAAAAACACATTTGACTCTTGAGAGACTTTTCTGTCTTCCTTTAGGCCCTTGTTTCACTTTCTACTTTCGTGGGAGCTACAGTGGTATATCCTTATCCTGCTCACCCACTCTATCCCTCACATTGAACACTGAATCAGAGGGTGGAAGGCCATGCAGGGGCGGGAGGTAACTGGCTCCCCCTCTCTTCTGGGCTTGCTTGGAAGAGGTGTTAGGTTTTCTTAGGTTTCGGTTCCTCACCTAAAGATGAGGGTACGTGTGTGCTTAGTTGCTTTAGTCGTGTCTGACTCTTTGCCACCCCATGGACTGCAGCCCACCAGGCTCCTCTGTCCATGGGAATTCTCCAGGCAAGAGTACTGGAGTGGGTTGCCATTTCCTCCTCCAAGAGATCTTCCCAACCCAGGGATCGAACCTGCATCTCTTACCTCTCCTGCATTGGCAAGCAGGTTCTTTACCATTATCCCCACCTGGGAAAGCCCCAAGGATGAGAGTGGACTGCAACTACTTGGGAGGAAATTCTGTCAAGACTAACACAATTGTATTTGTGCTTAAGGAGCTTCATGGAGGCAATAACCAGAAAACCGTTGCTCTGTTAGGCTCAAATCCCATAATTATCACTAGGGGCATGGCTATTAGATATTTCCACTTTCAAAGAAGATAGACAATCAGATTTGCATGCCATATCTCTCAAGATTAAAGTAGCAAATGTGGCCTTTAACTCAAAATGAAAACATGGTGAGGAAGCTGTGAAGGTCAAAATACAAACATTAAACTAACTAAATGGCTGCATGACAGATAAAACATGAGGCCCACTTGTTTCAGAACCTACTTGTCATGGTTTGGGCTGAGAGACTAACCCAGGTCCTCACAGTCTTCCCAGCCAGTTATTAACTCCAGATATCTACTCCAGCTCCAGCTCATGCCATCAACATAGTGACTGGCAGTACCCTAGGGGATAGTGACCAGAGGACAGCTGGCTGAAGTGTTCCCAGACCAGGCTGATTTGGACATTTAGACTATTATGTGATTCTGACTCTTAAGGGTTTCCCTCTCCTACAAAAAAAAAAAAATGTTGTTTATTAAAATATAAGTGTAAAGGTTGTTTGCACATCCCTCGTAGCTCAGTCAGTAAAGAATCTGCCTGGAGATGCAGGAGACCTGGGTTCAATCCCTGGGTTGGGAAGATCCTCTGGAGAAGGGAATGGCTCCACTTCAATATTCTTGCCTGGAGAGTCCCATGGACAGAGGAGCCTGGCGGGCTACAGTCCATGGGATCATAAGAGTTCGGACATGACTCAACGACTAAACCACAGGTTGTTGACCCATCATTAGCCTTTACTTTAAAATCACCAAGATAATAAATTATTTAATGTAGAAATCTAAGATCAAGATAATCAGTTTCGCTTTTTGTTTTATTTTTTATTATTATTATTTTGTGTGCGTGACCACACCATGTGGCATGCAGAATCTTAGTTCCCCAACCAGAGATCGAAGCCGTGTCCCTTGTAGCAAAAGCACAGAGTCTTAACCATTAGACCCAACAGGGAAGCCCCCAGGTTAGCCTTTTGAACACCAACTTTTATCTAGCACTTAAATCTGGACTTGATTCTAGTTCTCCAAACCAGGACTCAATGGAAACTCATCTTGAAACTTTCCAGATGTTTAGAAGCCCCTAAGAAATACATGCTGTTCCTGGTTGGAGTCAGTGCTCAGCTCTTCCTCAGACCTATTGAGGAAGTATAGAGGTGCTTCAGGCAGTCTTTGAATCCCTAATCCTCATGGAGCCGGTTCTTCACTTCCTTTCCTATGCACTTACAAAGAGTTTCATGTTGTGCAAACTGTGTTCATGCACATTACCTCAGACAGCCTCTCATCAATACTGTGAGGTGGGTGGGGCAAAGTCTTCTTGTCACTATTTTATAGATGAGGAAACTGAGGTTCAGAGTGATTAAGGGACTCGCCCAGGATCACCTGGTATGTAGTAAAACCAGGACTAGAAACCAGGTCTCTTGGTCTCTTAAGCACCATAAATAATGCATTTGTGGCATAGTGGGTGGTTCATGATGACAGGGACACCCAGTTCAGTAAGTGGAATGGAAAAAGCCAACTCTGAATGAATAGAGTACCCTTCTGGGAAGAGGAGGAAGGGTGGAGGTCAAGACACCAAGACCGACCTCCAAGAGGTCGCCATCCAAGGGCAGGCTGACAGAGAGCAAAGGGTTAGAGGCCTGGGAGGAAGGGGTGGGGAGTGTTTCAGGGTTTCTCGGGAGCGAGAGTTCCCAGGTTGCAGTGAGTCTGAGTGAGGAACCAGGGTCTACTCCAGGGAAAGGGCTCTAGGGAATGAGCTGAGGGGATCACAGCCCCCAGTTAAGGGACAGGTTGGAAACTAAGAATCAGGCCCCTGGAGGAGGCCAGTCAGACACTCCGACTGTTCCAGGTAGGGTTATAGATAGTGATTTCACCCCCCCAGTCTAAGGCTGAACTCAGCATCCCAGTGGTTAGCCCCACGCAGGCCTCAGTGCTGCACATTCTTTACAGACTCCATTCACTGGGATTCCAGAAGAAAGTCCTCACATCGCGCCCAGGCCAGGCATTCACTGGAGCCGGGCCTGGACAAAGAGGTGGCCTCAGTAGGGCCTCTGACAGGCAGCACTCTGAGGCCCAGGGCTCTCCTCCTCTCTGCAGGACGCCACCCCCTCTCTGTGAGGACTGGTCCCCACCCACTTCCTCTGCGCTCCGTGGTCCAGCCCTTTCAGGGGTGGTTTTCTCTCTGTGACCTGAAGCCATTTTTCTCACAGGTTTTGTGCCTGGAAGGCAATCCACTCTTACTTCCAGTACATGGGAAAGAAGTTCAAGGACAGAGTAATTTCTCCCAAACATGTGTGCAAGTACACTCCTTGGAGTGGAGGTAAGCTTCACCGTGACCCACAGCCCCATTCTCCAGCAGATGAGACTGACAAAGGGAGAGCAAAGCCTGGAAGGATCAGCTCTAAGACTTCACAGAGGGCGTTTGCTGGGAGGTGGCCATCCTATTAACTTGGCCCTCAGAGAAGCATTAACTCCTTATTTTATCTGTGGCTCTCAGTGCTAGCAAAGGGGTACCCCACCCACACACTGCTCCCCAGCAGTACCTCCCGGGGTGCCTCTGGGAACACAGGTCTCAGACTCCGTGGTCAGTAACGGAGGTGGCAAGCTACTTCACTACCATGGATGAAAGTTCCTGCTCCAACCATCTCCATCCAACCCTACCGTTTGAAAGAGCAAAAGTGTTAGTCACTCAGTTGTGTCCGATGCTTTTTGACCCCGTGGACTGTAGCCAACCTGGTTCCTCTGTCCATGGGATTCTCTAGGCAAGAATACTCCAGTGGACTGCCATGCCCTCCTAGGGGATCTTCCTGACCCAGGGATCCAACCTGGGTCTCCCACATTGCTGGCAGATCTTTTGCTGTCTGAGCCACCAGGGAAGTGCATCTATTTTATAGTGTTAAGTGAGAAAATTAGGAAGTGGAGGGAAAGTATGATTTTAGCATGGTAAGTATATATAAATATGTATTTATGTAATTTTTATGAAACATAGGAAAGAACTTAGAAATAAAGAATCAATAGAATTATCTCTGGGTAGTGTGATTATGAGAGGCTTATACAGTTATTATTAACATATATTAATCAATAAATATATACATATGTATGTTTTCTTAATGCAGAGCAGTTAAACTCAGCCTCTTCCCAGATACCTGCTGTGAGATCAGTACTTGAGCAAAAAAGGGAATTTTAAAGAGAGGGAAGAGGGTTCCCAGGGAAGTGCCTGGCGAGAGTAAGGCTGGGTGTCTCTGCAGTAGAAATTTCGGGGAACAAAGATAACAGGTCCGTGAACTGTACCAGCATTGGGACAAAACACGGAGACAGGACAAGAAACTTAAAAATGGCAGCTAACTGTCCTGAGACAACAGGAGCTGAGTGTTCTGTCGTTTCAGCTCAAACCCGTCCCATTCTCACGTCCACTTCCCCGGATACCCACCCCTGCCCCATTCCATCCCCCACAAACAAGCACCCCACCTGCTTCCTGGAGTGCAAACAAGGGTCCTTGAGACCTCAGTCCATCTCTGGCTGACCCCCCAAATGGGAAGGGAAGCAAGGTGTAGAGTGTCCTGCCACTCTGAGAGTGTCCTCACCTCAGTTCAAAACACATCACCTACCTCTCCCGCTGCAGTCACCCCAACGGTCAGTGAATATTGCTTGTCATCCTTGTCTCAGCAGACGGAAGTGTCACATCAGCAGACGGAAATCAGCAATCTATTTAGGATGTGGGGCAGAACGTCCCTGGGGGTGCAGGGGCTTTTTTTGGATGCCAGTGGGGTAGGGGAGGAGAGAAGCAGTAAGAGGAAAAGGAGCTGGAGCCGGGCAAGCAGCAAGGGCAAATGCTGCTCACTCAGAAGAGCCAGAAAGTGTCCCTTAGGGGTGGCCCCAGAGCTTCCAGCCTTTGGCTCCCCTCCTACTGTTGAGTTCCCAGGAGGCAAATGCCCAGATCTTTTCTGATGTCTGAAGAGGGCAGCAGGGTGCCTTGCGAGGGGCAGGCTGCTTGGGTTCTCAGCCTGGAGCGCCCTGGACCCTCTTCTTCCCCTGTCTCAGCCTCACGCTCCTGATCTCAGCTGCAGACGTGTGAGTGCAGGCAGTGTTCTATCGCTCACATCCTATCATCTGAAGAATGTAAACAGGGCCTTTCTCGCTGACTTACACAGACTTACTCTGTTGGGTGTCACTGTACTGTGCCCCTTCTTCCTTCCCCAGGAGACCAAGCCATCCTAAGGTTCACCTTGTGCAGAGGTATTGAGTGGTTGCAGCCTCAACCTCGGGATGCGCCAGGAAGTCCAATCCAAAACTGTGAGTTGGAGGTGGAAGTCCACTGATATCAAAAGTGCACTGCTCAATTAGAGGGTGACGGGAAGGCCAACTCAGCCAAGTCTCCTTACTGACCAGGAAGAGACTGAGACCCCCAAAATGTGAAGTGACTGCCACTCACAAGGGATGGAGGGTGAGAACCAGGTCTCCTGACCACCCTTCCAGGGCTCCATGCACAGCTCTCATTTGAATAATTATATCTTCCTGATGATGGCTTCTGGTATAGACCCTTGAAGGGGAATGCCTTAAGCTTCTCTGTCTCTCTCCTGGCTCTCGACCATTTCCAGGCATGGTGTGTGATCTTTATTAAGAGACAATTGTAACATCCCAATGGGAACATTTTCCTCCCACTGAGAGTACCTGCTGACTGAAACAGGACCTCCGTCCCACACCTTCTACTTTCCAGAGGCTCCTGCTACTGATCTTCTTATCCCTGTAATAAACTCTCTGGCTCTAGCTTCACATTTTGGGGTCCTTGTTATATCCTTTTTTCTTCGCCATCTTCAGCCTTGAGTCAGTTCCACCCCCAAGCACTAAACCAGCCTCTGTGGTCTACATGGTCTCTCCCAACCAGCCTTTCCTTTCTATCCCAGTGGTCAGCATTTGTTTCCAGGTCGGGAGATATGCTTCTCTGCTTCCTGAAGGCATGAGATGCCAGCTTGCCCTACCTGCTTGCTTGTTTATGTCCCCTTGTTGCTTAATGAGGGAGGCAGCTACAGAACCTTGCCATGATCCGTAAAATCCAAACAGCCCTAAAGTCTTGTGATTCTAGTGCTCATCTGGCAGATTAATCTCCTTATTTTACTTCCTTGGGTCTATGAGGTTGGCATCATGACCTCTGCATCCAAATGAAATGTCTCCTAAGACAAAAAATATATATATTGCAGCCCAGAAATGAGGCTCCTAAATGTCCCTGGAGCACCACTGCTTCCCCCTCCCTTTCCCGACTCCTTCCCTGGAGGCTGTCCTGGAATGACCTTCCGATGAGTGCCTGTGCCATTAGTGCTGATGTATTTTTCTCTGTATTTGTCTTTAGCTTCATCTAGCATCTTTACTCAGTCAAGACATGCGATCTCTGCCATCCAGCTGTGTCCTGTCCCAGGGTAGGCATGAGCCAGAAGTCCTCTTCTTTGGTCCAGGAGAAGTTGCTCTGTCCAAGTAGATGATGGGAGAGTGGGGAGAAACCTAGCTCCACATCCTGACACCTCCTGGCATACAGAACCGAGAAGCTGAGCTGTTCTAGAGGCTTATAGTCAGGCTAGTGAGGGAAGGGTTTCTCTATGGGTTGTTATCCACTTCCATCAAAATGGACACTTTTAAGAAATTGGAGCCCTTACCCACCTCCCAGTAGAATGCTGTTGTTGGGGGAAGTGTCCCAGATCTTTTGTTGCTGGCTTCCCAGGTGGCGCTAGTGGGTAAAGCACTCGCCTGTCATGCAGGAGATGTAAGAGACATGAGTTTGATACCTGGGTCGGGAAGATCCCATGGAGGAGGGCATGGTAACCCACTCCAGTATTCTTGCCTGAAGAAATCCCATGGGCAGAGGAGCCTGGTGGGCTACAGTCCACAGGGTCGCAAAGAGTCGGACTTGACTGAACCAACATAGCACACTAATATTCCAGTCCTCCAGAGTATAATGTATAAGACAGGAAAGAAGAGCTATTTTTCTGCATGGCCAGATATTGCAATAAGGATGGAAAGGATTTGAGACTGTCAAAATCTGATTTAGCCTAATTCACTTCTGTACAAGCATCAGAGCAGGACTGATGGTAAGTTAGGGCTATAGGAGAATCCCTAGGGGCATCATGGAAACAGTGCCAAAGAGCTACTGGAAGGTCAAGGTTATAGACAGTAGGCTCTGTGAATGGCAGGCCTGGCTTCTCACCAGTCATCCCACCTTCTCAGACCTGCTGTAAGTCCAACAGGGGCTTGGAGTTGCCCAAGTATCACTGGCCGGTGCTCGTACCTGGAAGACGAGCCAGGGACTTGGGGGCTCTGTGCACAGAAAGGCAATGCGTTGCTTCAGAGTTACAAGTTCTTTAAGAGGAAGATGAGGATAAGAATGTGGGGGGTAAAAGGGTTTCGGTTTTGGCCATCGCCACACTTAAAGGGGAGGACAGCAACCAACCAGCAGAGAGTACAATGCTAGTTACCTCAATGCCACTGTGATAACTGGCCACTCTTCTCTCTTCCTTCAGGCCAAAATTACCCAGCACCAAAAAGGAGAAGAAGTAATCAGTAATCAAGTCAGAACCCCAACAGAGGCACACAATCTCTCAGAAGCCTCCTCCCACTGACAGAACCTTTTCTGGTCAGAAATGAAATGCCCTGACGCCATCTGCCCCCTGAAAGATCAGTGCAGGAGCGGCCCGGACGTGGCGGGACCAGACTGCAGTGGCTAAGATGGGAGTGGAGAGCACGGACAGAAGCACCTCTGCCCCCCACCCCATCCCGTCCTGGAGTCAGAGACAGTCTTTCCGTGGTGGCTGTGCAACAGAACACCTACCCTCGGGGTCTGGACACCTGTTGCACTCTGCAGCTGCATGGCCTTGAGCAAATCCTTGATGCAAGGTGGTTGAAGAATCCCAGGAGACCTATGTGCAGATGGCATTAAACACTCTAGGAAGCAAGGTACTGTTTTATCAGATCAGATCTTTTGTTGCTAGGATCCTCCCGTTCGGACAATGGCTCACACCCCTGTTGTCTCAGCAGATCCTCACAACCCTGTGAGTGACCATGTCTGAGATCATTTATTTTTAAATAGATGAAGAACTGGCACACAGAGAAGGTTAATGAATTTCTCAAGATCACTAAGTAGTAAGTGGCAGAGCCTGGACCAGAACACACCACTTCCAATTCTCTGGCCAGTTATTGCATGGTGACCATCTGCCCAACTTTCCACACCAAAGGAAGATTCCTTCCCTGGAATTCTGTCCATTTGCCAAATTAATCAATAAAGAGACTCAGGGAAATGTCTAGCCTATAAGCCAAATTACTGTCATCAGAGTGGCCAGGCCCATTTTCTGTCCTTTGAAGACAATTGGGAGCAAAATGGGTCAGAATATCCTAAATAAGCCCTCCACGTGGCTCATTGATTCCATGGGTTGCAGGACAATGAAAAACTAGAAAGCTTATTGGAAGAATCTGGTCTAATTTCCAGACAAAGTATCCTGCTATGCTGATGACCTTTATTCCCTAGACTTTTCTCAAGATGATAAGTGTTGAGATGTGAGGACAGCAGGGCTCATGCCCACCCAGGACTGTAGAATCATCTGGGTGGGGCTGTGACTATGACAGGTCCAGGAATACTGTAGGCAAATATGACTAGGGCAGGTCTGGATACAGGCAAAGAGTGGGGAGCCTCTTGGGCACTGGAACAAAGTTCAGCAGAGCAAGCATTCCACACAAGGGCACCCAGAGGAAGGGAGGAAGGCCTCCTCCCCCAACAGGGCCAGGGCTCCGGAAAAGGACGTCAGTTAACAGAAGCAGCAGAGGGCATGAGACAGAGTTCCAGTTCCCAAAACTCAGGCAAGAAACTAAGGCAAGATGCCAGGAAAAGGATGGAGAAGAGCCCTGTTACTGGAACTGAGGTGCCAGGAGTGAACTTGATCCAAAAGGACAGGAATCAGAACGTGGAACCAGAGGAGATGTCAGGCCAGCAACAAGGTGACGGATGAGGATCTAATAAAGCACCTACTCAGGGCCATTGCCTGCCTACCCTTGCAGTGGTCTGAGGCAAGGCTGGACCCATAGGCTGGCAGTAAGTGGGTCCCACTGAAGGAAAAGAAAGGTTGTTCAGTGGGCTCATCAAAACTGTGATCTTTACTTGTTTTTCAGTTCTCTTTCTCTCTCTGCACGCTCACTCATAGCTGTATTCATGCACAGGTATGCAAGCATATACAAACAAGTTATTTAAAAGGCCTCATGACACTTAGGAGGACTGCTCTGAGTAGGAAAAAACTGTACTTCTATTGAGTCTCACTGACTGCTCCCCATGGTTTCTTATTCTCTCACATCAGAGATCCCTGAAGTGAGAGAATAAGAAACTTCAGATCCTCAGAGATCTGGTGTTAGAGATAACACCAGAAGTAGGTAAATGTCCCAAAGTCAATCACCTGTAGGATGCAGGTAGGTCATGTAAGAGGGTAAAGTAACCCCCAAGAGATAACAAGGTGGCAGACCCTGTGATGAGCTGGATAACACAGCTCAAAGGGGACATTGACAATCAGCTTGAGCTGCCAACCCAGTGCTATCAGAGTTCTTTACTTGGGAAAAAAATGAAAGAAAGAAAAGGAAGGAGGAAGTGAAGGAGGGAGAGAAGGAAGAGGGGGAGAAAAATGGGAAGGAAGGCAAAAAAAAAAAAAAAAGAATGAGATGTCTAGAATTTTTATAACATGTGCAGGTTAAGCAAAACCTGGCTGTGGGCCAACTTGGTCCACAGCCCAGTGAGCTGCAGTTTTTGCTTTGAGCTATTTCTTTCCCTGTGAAATTATGTTTGGGTCCTGGGTCATCAGAATGGAGGAAGACTTGTGCCCACAATAGACCTACAGGGGCCACGGACCTCTAAGGAAAGGGCTGAGGCAGAAGAGACAGGTAAGGAAGCTGGTCTACTTTTGTTCCTTGTATTTTTTTTATATTTATATATGTATGCTTTTATTTTTTTTTCCATTTATTTTTATTAGTTGGAGGCTAATTACTTTATAATATTGTAGTGGTTTTTGCCATACATTGACATGAATCAGCCATGAAGTTACATGTATTTCCCATCCTGATCCCCCCTCCCACCTCCCTCTCTACCTGATCCCTCTGGTCTTCCCAGTACACCAGCCCCAAGCACTTGTCTCATACATCCAACCTGGGCTGGTGATCTGTTTCACCCTTGATAGTATACATGTTTCGATGCTGTTCTCTCGAAACATCCCACCCTCGCCTTCTCCCAGAGTCCACAAGTCTGTTCTATACATCTGAGTCTCTTTTTCTGTTTTGCATATAGGGTTATCGTTACCATCTTTCTAAATTCCATATATATGTGTTAGTATACTGTAATGGTCTTTATCTTTCTGGCTTACTTCGCTCTGTATAATGGGCTCCAGTTTCATCCATCTCATTAGAACTGATTCAAATGAATTCTTTTTAATGGCTGAGTAATATTCCATGGTGTATATGTACCACAGCTTCCTCATCCATTCGTCTGCTGATGGGCATCTAGGTTGCTTCCATGTCCTGGCTATTATAAACAGTGCTGCGATGAACATTGGGGTGCACGTGTCTCTTTCAGATCTGGTTTCCTTGGTGTGTATGCCCAGAAGTGGGATTGCTGGGTCATATGGCAGTTCTATTTCCAGCTTTTTAAGAAATCTCCACACTGTTTTCCATAGTGGCTGTACTAATTTGCATTCCCACCAACAGTGTAAGAGGGTTCCCTTTTCTCCACACCCTCTCCAGCATTTATTGCTTGTAGACTTTTGGATAGCAGCCATCCTGACTGGCGTGTAATGGTACCTCATTGTGGTTTTGATTTGCATTTCTCTGATAATGAGTGATGTTGAGCATCTTTTCATGTGTTTGTTAGCCATCTGTATGTCTTCCTTGGAGAAATGTCTGTTTAGTTCTTTGGCCCATTTTTTGATTGGGTCATTTATTTTTCTGGAGTTGAGCTGGAGGAGTTGCTTGTATATTTTTGAGATTAATCCTTTGTCTGTTGCTTCGTTTGCTATTATTTTCTCCCAATCTGAGGGCTGTCTTTTCACCTTGCTTATAGTTTCCTTTGTTGTGCAAAAGCTTTTAAGTTTCATTAGGTCCCATTTGTTTATTTTTGCTTTTATTTCCAATATTCTGGGAGGTGGGTCATAGAGGATCCTGCTGTGATTTATGTCGGAGAGTGTTTTGCCTATGTTCTCCTCTAGGAGTTTTGTAGTTTCTGGTTTTATATTTAGATCTTTAATCCATTTTGAGTTTGTTTTTGTGTATGGTATTAGAAATATCCAAATTTCCTTATGAAACATTTTCATATTCCAGTAATGCTTGATGCTTTCAGAACTTTCTGTTTTTTAAAGGAAGCTCATATAACCCATTCAGACTAAAGGCTGACAGAAACAGAGGAAAACAGAGCAAAAGAGCCTGGGAGAGATCTGTCTTCCACCTTCCGGAGGCTTTTCAGTTTTGTGGGCCTAGAAGTGATATAAATCTCGCCTCTTTCTGTAGCGGTAGTCCCTCATCATGAGTGCCTCCAAATGACCCAGGTGTCACTGGGGAAGACAGGCGCTCTCCTGTGCAGCACATTGGGGGGGGGGGGGCAGTCCTCACCCCTACTCCTCAACCAGCTCCACATATCATTAACCAGAATAGAAGACGGCCATGTTTACAATCGTGGGCCTCCCATATTCTCATTAAAGGGCACAGGGATGTTACTTCCCAGAAGACTCCTAAGGTCACTTCCAATTGAAGACATTAGTAGAAATACTACTCCCCATTCTGGATCAAAACCAGGGGCCAGCCATTGTCGTCCAGAGTCTCTGGCACACGGGTCCTCCCCTGACCAGTAGAGTCCCAGCAGGAGGCCCTGCTGCCTTCCCTTCAGAGTTCCAGTGTTTCCCTGAAGCAGGCTGGTTTTCTCTCCATTCCTTAGTAACTCTGTGATCATCAGCAAATTACTCAACCTCCCTGAATTCCCAACACCCTTCTCTGTGAAATGTCTACCCTCATAGGGTTGTGTGGAGACTAACCTGAAGTCTTGCAGGCCAAGTGCACACCACAGGGACCAGGCACCAAGTTGGGGGCGGGGACATTAGTTGCCGGTTCCCTCTTTCCACCTTTTCCCCTAACTTCTCAGAACATGAGGAAAGTGATTGACTAGGAGTGGTATAGTTCAAGAGCTAAATCCTGAGAAATTTCTAAAAGGACTTCCTCCAATAATATACATGGTCCATGGAGGTGTGAGCCTTTACCACCCCTTTAACAGCGGAGTCCCTCTGGAGTTTCCATCTCTCAGACTTGTCCACACTGAGCCTCCAGAAATTCATTAGTTACCCTGCTTATTTAACTTACAGACAGAATACTTCATGAGAAATGCTGGGCTGGATGAAGCACAAGCTGGAATCAAGATTGCCAGGAGAAATGTCAATAACCTCAGATATGCAGATGACACCACCCCAAAGAGCCTCTGGATGAAAGTGAAAGAGGAGAGTGAAAAAGTTGGCTTAAAGCTTAACATTCAGAAAACTAAGATCATGGCATCCAGCCCTATCACTTCATGATCATGTGAAGAATTGACTCATTGGAAAAGACCCTGATGCTGGGAGGGATTGGGGGCAGGAGGAGAAGGGGACAACAGAGGATGATGGTTGGATGGCATCACTGACTCAATGGACATGAGTTTGGGTAAACTCCAGGAGTCGGTGATGAACAGGGAGGCCTGGCGTGCTGCAGTCCATGGGGTCGCAAAGAGTCAGACACAACTGAGCGACTGAACTAAACTGAACTGACAACTTAGGTTTTCCTGTTCTGTTACTGGTTCTCGCTGAGGTGGCTTTCTGCTCTGGAAGTTAGGATTCTCTGCATTCACCTCTCTCGCTTGGGGAGTAGTCATTTGTCCTGTGACTTCATTTCTCTGACAGATAGAAGAGGAGGTGATTTTTCAGTTCAACTTTTTACTTACCGTGAGAACAGAGTGATAATTTCTAAGCTCCTTATGTGTTGGATCAGAAAGAAACCTGAAGTTTCCAGATTTCTTTTTTTGAAAAGGTTAAGCCTGGGCCCCACCAAGGTTCTGACTTAATCAGTCTAGGATAGGCCCCAGATGATTCTTACAGAGCTAGTTTCAAGAACTAATGATATGTGCTATATATAGTTTATTGCTAGAGAAAAGTGAATGAGTGAAAGTCACTTAGTCGTCTCCAACTCTTTGCGACCCCATGGACTGTAGTCCATGGAATTCTCCAGGCCAAAATACTGGAGTGGGTAGCCGTTCCCTTCTCCAGGGGATCTTCCCAACCCAGGAATCAAACCCAGGTCTCCCACATTGCAGGTGGATTCTTTACCAGTTGAACCACCAGGGAAGCCCAAAAATACTGGAGTGGGTAGCCTATCCCTTCTCCAGTGGATCTTCCCAACCCAGGGATTGAACCAGAGTCTCCCACATTGCAGGCAGATTCATTGCAGCTGAGTCACCAGGAAGCCCAAAGAAGAGAGGAAGATAATAATGAGAATGAGCACAGAGGGCTTTTTCTTCTGGTCACCCTATTTTAATTTCACTTACTCTCCCTGATTTCCAACCTCTTAATCTACCATACTTTCATTCCTGGTCATTATCACCTTTTCGTGTGCCACATCATTTTTTGTATTTTATTGTTTATTTATTTGACCATGCTGAATCTTAGTTGTAACATGCAAGATCTAGTTCCCTAACCAGGGATCGAACCCTGTATAGAGAGTTCAGAGTCTTAACCACTGGACCACAAGGGAAATCCCTCTATACCTATATTAATGCTTAATTCTGTCTTCCACCTCTCTAATTCTCTGTGAGGACAGAGATCTTGGTTTGTTCACTGTAGTGCTTCTTGTTCTTTAATCACTGAAGATAGCAAAACACTGTTCTCACCTTGACTCATGGGGCATAATCACCTACTTCCTGGACTTCTGGCCACTGAGGCTTTATCATGAAAGAAATACAAAGCTATCATACTTCAGTCGCTTTCATTTGGGCTTTATTAAAAGAGTTACTAAGTAAAATCCTACTTGATTATCTCAATTTTACAAAATCACAAAAACAGAATCCCACCTAATACTCCAGAAGAGGAGAGAAATTTTCAGGAGAGAAAGCGAATGAAAGT